ATGCACATCTTCCATATCTGGTTCAGATTTTATTTAGGGTGGACAATGTTTTCTGTGAAAGATGCAACCATGGTGACTTATGGCTAATGCAGGGCATGTTGCTCAGCAGTTTGTTTAATGGGCAAGCAGTCCATTCTTGGAACCATGCATTTGTTATACTGAAACCCTAGTAAAACGTTCTTGACATGTTTATTGGTGGTTTTTTAGAACGAAATCGAGTACTTCCGGCATCCTCAGTATCTTGGTGAATTTCAATTGTTTATAACCTTTTTATATTTATTTAACACTAAAATCCATTCACACGCTTAGCCCCTAGCTATCGCAATCAACATGGTATGCAGCTGAGTGTAGGCCATTTTTACTTGGGGGCTGTGTAGCCAAATTGGAGTATAATATTCAGCACTCGAGGAAAGAAGGGCTAGGACAATAGAGAGAAGAGTGGAAGCCAATGCTCCCCATGCAGCAAAGCTTTTCTATAATGTGGTTCGTATACTCAAATTTTGGGCAGTTTTTGTTAAATTCTCTTTAAAAGACAGTGTTTTGTCTAATGTTACTCCCCTTTTCATTTTCATTTTTTATTCGATTCCTTCAATTTTCATAAACAAGTTTACATAAAAAATATTAACAAATTCACTAGTTGTGTACTCACAGGTTAATGCAAAGTTGAGATCCACGTTAATGAGAGATATGGTAAGGAAACCTTGTCCATTTCATTGATGTCAACTTACACTAACTTTGGCAACACCCTGGTATACTAACTTTTTTGAAATTACTGCTCTGTTATTTCGAGCTGAATTAAATGTGGCTCTGGCTTTTCGGGTATACCCGTAGTCATACGATTTCATCATAAGTCGTTTAACACACATTCAAGCAAATACCTGTTAAATTTTGGATCTCTTCATTGATAGCCTTCGAAGTTTTAGCATGATGTCTCGTCGGTAATATTACTTTGTCATTTACTTCTTATAATAAGCCTACTTAATAATGTTACCCAAAGTTAAATACAAACCATAGTAATGTCTACTATTTAATAATATCTTGTCTTCCATCTTGGATAGTTTTTGTTGTTACTTATATGAAGTTTTTTAAAATACTGTTCTTTGAACATTTTATATCTTTTCTAGTTCTCTCACTTCTAAATTACTATGGTGCATATCTTTTGTAAAGTAAACCATGTGCAAATGATTGTCTCTAAAGGTGCTTGTTTATTTACCTAATTAATGCAACGAAACATTTCCAATTAAAGGATTAAATATATATATATATATATATATATATATATATATATATATATATATATATATCATCGAGTAAAAAGACAAAAGAGGGAATGTAAAGGTAGTGGGGGCAAAAATATTGTTAGACAGAAAGTGCGATCTTTAGAGGCCACAATAAACAAGGAAAGAGAGTCTCTCTCCTTGTTTGACATCAAATTTAGTTGGGTTATGTTATTGTTTGTCCCAAATGTCACATGAAATCTTATTATTTATATTGAAGTTTTTTAACAATTGTGTCGCATTTTAGACTATTATCGTTAATAATTAATTAAAACTTTCTCGCCTAAGACACATTCTAAAAAATATTATACAGCTACTGTTAATAACTGTCTGAAAATTTAAATTTGGCGCATTCGCATTTCCGGATATGTCCGCCATCAGAGGCCACTTTTTTGGTCTCATTTTCATAAGGATTAGATTCCCTCTTTTGTCTTTTTATTCGATCTTTTATATATATATATATATATATATATATATATATATATATATATATATATATATATACAGTGTAGGAAAAATTTTATGGTCGGTATGGACCTTACGTGAGATGGAGTGAGAAACAGCTGTTTAGAAAAAGAGAGGTATATTAGGTCCGCCCTTTATATCGCCAAACATGCATGCCTGGAAAGGGGAAGTTCAACGTTGCCAAACTTATTGGATTTATTTGACCTGTTGTTTTTTTTGCATTTGAACAATGTTCTAAGATAATCCAATTTGGGCGAAATTGATTTAAATGGCAGCTTACTGTTTTTTTTTATTGGGAATATGCCACAAGTTTACTTTACAATAAGTGTAATATAACATTTTGATTTCCACTTTGGAAATCGTTTGATATACCTAAATAAAATTTATTAATGTTTCGTATTTTAAGTACGATTTCCGAATTAAAAATCTAAACATCAAAATAAGCTTATTTTAAAGTCACATTGTGCCTTATTCCCAATATGAAATAATAAACTGCATACAATAACACCACATTAAAAAATATTCACACACAATAATTTATTTGGCAACGTCGTCCGTCTGGTCAGAACACCGAGTAACGGGTAGTAGAGGTGGGTCGTGGTAATTTTATCGTTAAGAGCGTAAGAGCGATTAATATTTTTTAAATGCATTCATTTTTTTTCGAATCCTGATAAAACTAATAAATATTCTTGAAAAATTTAAACGCAGAATAAACCAATACATTATTACCGAGGGCCAAAAGTCCCTGAAAACTTCTATAATGTTTATTTTAATAAGTTATAAGGGCGAAAAAAAAAATTAGTGTGATTTTTAATTTCAAATATCTCATTCAAAAAACTTTTTGTTTATTCTAAGGGACTTTCGGCCCTCGGTAATAATGTAATCTTTTATTCTGCATTTAAATTTTTCAAAAATATTTGTTAGTTTTCTCAGGATTCCAAAAAAAATGAATGAATTTAAAAATTTAAATTTTTGTAAACAAGTAACTATGATTGTTTAAAAGTAGTTTCAAGTAAGAGAGTACCTACATAAACAAACATAATGGCTATTATCGTTTATGTGTATATTTATTGAAGTGAAAGAAACTAATGATATATTTATTATAACTTGAAAAATAAACTAAACAATACAAATAGTAAATCGTACTTACATTTACATTACACGTTATTATTAAATCGCGAATAGTCTAAATTGACATTAAAAAACATAAGTTTTTCTACTATACCTACTTCTTATTAACCGTCTTCTTTTTTTATTTCAAATTAAACCAGATTTTGAACATGTGTTCACATTTACAATACTGTATGAATATAGGGGTTAAGTTAGGATATACATGGCGATGGTTTTTCCACCGTTGTAATGGACTCTCGATACAGGTGTACGTGTAGATGAGCCATCTCCAATTAATTGATCAAATATACACCATGGATTTAAGTCATCTTTATTGGTTTCTTTTTCTTGTACTGGTTGATTTTCAATAGTACAATCTTCTTGTTCGTTAATTATAGAAGTAACCAGCTGTCGGGATATAAGGTTAGAACTACGCCTGAGAATGCTTCGATGTTACGTGTTCTCTACTCTTCTTTATGGTCTGAAAGCTTGGACACTAAAACAAGTTCATCTGAATAAGTTGGCCGCCTTTGAATTTTGGTGTTACAGAAGAATCCTACGAATATCATGGATTCAAAAAATGTCAAACATTGAAGTAACTAGAAGGATAGGAAATGAGGCAGAAATAATATTAACTATTAAAAGACGAAAACTTGAGTACTTGGGACATGTGATGAGAGGGCAAAAATACGCATTATTACAACTTATTATGCAGGGCAAAATCCGAGAAAAGCGAAATGTGGGAAGACGAAGAATATCCTGGCTTAAGAACTTAAGGGAATGGTTTGAATGCAGTAGTGCAGACCTTTTTAGAGCGGCAGTCAACAGAGTCGGCATAGCCATGATGATTTCCAACCTTCGATAGAAGATGGAACTTAAAGAAGAAGAAGTGAAACGGATTGCCTCTTCTAACTCAGTCATTCTTTTTAACCTGTAATAGGTGAAGTTCTACCTAGTTTCCACGTCTTGGATTGGCCGTTTGGGAACTTTGTTATGTTGTAATTAAGCCTTTCTGAAGATAAGGTACTTTTTTTAATGTTTTTTGCAGAAGTGTCGAAAAAAGGACTTTTTATTTTATCTATTATCAAATCAGTTTTGACATAACATTCCTGAAGTAATGAATCTAACAGTTTTTCTTGTTGGCGGTTTATATCCAGGAATCCACCCTGCAAACTTTTTAAAAGCTGGTTCTTCACCTATAGAAAACGGATGAAACGAGTCTTTGCATAAGTTTAGTAAATCAATAAGTTTAGTCAAGAAAAAGAAACTGATAAAGATGACTTAAGTCCATTGTGTATTTTTGATGAATTAATTGGACATGACTCATCTAAACATACAACTGTATCGAGAGATATACAAGAAGTCGACATGTATTTGTCTAATAATATATTACCCACAATAAATTTCGAACGGAGATTGGAACTGTCCATTACCGTGGTGGAAAAACCATCACCATGTATATCCTAACTTAGCCACTATATTCATAAAATATTGTAGAATTGTAACATCATTTCCTTGTGAACACATGTTTAAAATCTGGTTTAATTTTAAATAAAAGAAGAACACAGTTAACAAGAAAAGTAGAAAAACTTGTTTTTAAATGTCAACTTAGACGGTTCGCGATTTAATAATAACGTGTAATGTAAATGTAAGTACGATTTAATGTAAATGTAAGTACTATTTGTATTGTTTAATTTATTTTTCAAGTTATAATAAATATATCCTTCGTTAGGTTCTTTCACTTCAATACTTATACACATAAACGATAATAGCCAATATGTTTGTATACTCGCTAATTTGAATCAACTAGTTACAGTTTACGAAAAACGGTTCCGATAAAAATTTAAAAAACGGGAGGACCCACCTCTAGTATTTTAGGTATATTAGGATCGGAACCAGAGAATATGTAAAATATCTCTGATCGGAACTATTCGTCTCACTAATGGCCAATAGGTGTTAAAAATATTTGAGGAGGGGAGACCAAGGGGAAATATGATTGTTATCTTTGTCTATTCGCTGAAAATATGATTTTATATCTGCGTTAGATATCCTGTTAAATTTTACCATACCGGCCATAAAATTTTTCCTACACTGTATATATAGTTATATTGACTAAATGGACAATACAAATAAAATACTATAACTTACCTCGACTGCAAGATGAGGAACCAGCACCGTTAAACAATCAAATCCAACTCTTCTAGAATTATGTTCATAACTAAGTATTTCCAAACACAATAAAGGAATTTTCGAGAGTTCGGGTACTTCTCTAAGGTATAAAGTCTTGTTAAACTTGATAGATTCTTTGGCAAATTCAACCAGAGTTTGAACTATAATAGATTTTTGACTATTATATGCAGTCATACTATAAATATTTGTTAGGATAGGTACTACTTCCTTTATAATATAATTACAGGAATGTTCGGATCCTGCAGCTACATAAAGTAAAATCTGCGAAGATTTCTCAAACAATTTGGAATCCGGTAGTAAGTTTCCTTTTAGAGTATCAAGTATATTTTGTAAAATGTCTAAAAATTCGTCAGTCCGACCTTCTGAAATTTTTGATATGATTATAGTCAGGGTTGTAAGACATTGTTGTCTTATATTGTCTGACATATTAGTTAAGATTTCTTTTTGCAGCAATGACCATATTTCAGGAGCCTTTTCTAAGTAAATTGAAATTGGAAATGTCGGACAGCCCCCTGTCTAAAAAATAAATGTTTTTCAGCATCTTTAATTATGCTATAAATTAAAAATAAAACGAATTATAAGCTTGTTAACTAAAAAACAGTAGTTGTCAAAATAACCGGTATTAAAATCAAGATTGCTATTCTTTGTTTCAAGTTAAGAAAATAACATTACGCTTATGGAGATCAGTGTTACCAAAACTCTCAGACACTCTCTTTTGCACGGATGTCCAAGATATTCCCTTTGCTTAATTTTTGAATTTTCATTTTCAATTAATATTTAACTGTAAAGTCAGAATAACTACTAAATAAAAGCCTTATTATCATTATGTAGTCAGAGAACGACATAAAATAGCTGACATACGCACATCGTATTATTTTAAGTTGCAATTAGTAATTAGATATACGCATTCCAAGCGGTCAATATTTTCTACTGATTTCTATGATTCATGGCATATCGTATTCTCACCAAAAAACAAATAAACTGTCGTTACTATAATTAAAATAAGATAAAATAAAATTATCTTTTGTAAATACTATTTATCTAATTAAAATCATTTTCCCTACTTTTCATCTCTTGTTTCGAATGGGCACTTTTGGTCAATTACGTTAAAAAACATTAATTTAATTCATGTTTGTGGAAACAAAAATACAAATTATACAACCCTAAATTGTGCTTGTGTGTGTCGTGGCAACGCCGCGTTGCTATCGTCCATAAGAAATACATGGCCCTATCTCCGCAATGTTATTTTCTAAACGTGGAACGTCGCTCATACAAATCGCTCATACAAATTGTCTTTATCATACTAGGCTTACCTGTTATTAAATACACATGTCATGTATTTAAACATGACATGGTTAAACAAACATTTTCTTTTGAAATTATTATAGGATTTAAGACTTTAGTTATTTCTCGCAAATGTTATTTTATTGTCTTTTGCAGAAATTCAAGTTTTGAGAGTGTGTATCTCCTAGTACAATCCGTTGAAGACACTTGAAGAGGAATTGAAGCACTTGAAGAGGAAGAGAAATGTGGCATATGAGATTTGCCTTAGACAAAAATATAGAGCATATTTGACCTTGACAAAAATATAGAGCATGTCGACGATGAAACTGTAGGCAACCATATTTGGAAATACATAAATCCAGTGAGTAGTAATTTACAAAATTTGTATCATATCATTATTCGAAAATTTAGCAGTCTTATTGCAAGACTGAGAAATTGCAAATGAATTTAATACACATTACAGTACATTAAGACAAATGTATGCACATGACCAGATTAAGGAAATAGATAGGATAAAAAGCAGCATGTACTTGTATCTCTCGTTGGACAAAAAGAAGTGGTAAATGCAATATAATCTTTAAAAGACAAAAAATCTCCTAGCTGGAATGGTATCAAGAAAGAAACCATCAAACAAATCAAGAAAGAAATTATTACTCCTTTAACTTGTCTTATATGTTTTCAGGATGGTTGTTTTCCAGAATGTCTGAAAATGGGGAAAATCAAACCTCTGTTTAAAACAGGAAATAAAGAAGACGTGTTTAACTACAGACCAGTCTTTGTTTTTGTTTAAAAAAAAAAATTGAAAAAAATTTTAAAAAATATATTAGTAAGTTTTTTGGACAAGTTTAGTATAATATCGGATTGCAAATACAAATCAGATGCACAAATATCAGAAGCTTTTGAGTCTAATAAACGTAGTTTATGCATATTCATCGATCTCTCTAAGGCGTTTGACACGATAGCTCACGAGATCTTGTTGAAGAATCTTGAGAAGTATGGTCTGAAAGGACGGGTTTTGACATTACTAAAAAGTTACTTAACTGATAGAAACAATTTGTAGAAATTGATGGTGTCAAAAGTGACTCTTAAGTAATTAATTATGGCGTACCGCAAGGGACCGTTTAAGACCCTCTACTTTGTACACTCTATGTTAATGACATGTTCAAACTAAAAACTGTTGGAAACATAATTAGTTTTGTTGATGACACCGAAATTTTTTATACGACCGATAATTGGGAAGATTTTAAAATTATAGCAGAACAAGACTTCAAAATTATAAAAACATGGTTACAAATAAACAAACTCACATTAACTTATAAACAAAATAAATATATACCTTTTGCAATATATAAAAATTCTTTGCCAACTTTTAATTCATTAAAAATAAATAAAAAACAAATATTTAAAGCAGTGTACATAAAATATTTAGAAGTTTTAATTGACAGGCACCTTAAATGGGACTTACAAATAAAAAATATTATAAGAAAAATACGAGGTCTGCTAATAAAATTCCGCTATTTAAAAGAGTTTTTGGATGTTGAACAGCTAAAATGCTTTACCTATCTCTATTACAATCTCATCTTGTATATGGGATTTTAGGATGGGGTGGAGTAGCTAATTGCCATCTAGTGACCCTTCAAAAAACTCAGAAATGGTTTCTTAAACCGTTGATTGAATAATCCAATTAGATCCGCAACGCTTATGGAGAGAAACGTGCAACCCAAAAAATTAAAATTTCATCAAGAATCAGCGCCTCTAGTGGATATTACGGGAAACAACTAGTTACGAATTTGCGCTCATACGAGAATGATCGTAGAAAGAGCTGCCGTTACCTCCCCTATCGTCCCCTTCCACAACCAATTTATGGCAGTACTTACGAAATACGAAGTGTAGTGAGTCAGAAAACCGGACATCGCCCCAGCGTTATCTCTGATTTCTAAGAAATATGTCTGTGAAGCATTTAGCACTTCGCCAACGTTTGAATTTAATTTGTCGATATTATATTTTGTATACAGATACGATAAAGATCGACTGCTATGAAAATTATTTGATATGTAATTTAGAATGTTAATAATTATAAAATCAAGGGGTGCCCGATCTAATTTTGTTGTGACTATAATTAATTAATAATTTAATAATAACTTATTTTATAAAGAAAATTTTGCGGACAGATATTATTCTAGATTCATTCAAAACAAAAAAGTGCTTTTTTAATTTTTGTTCTTAAGCTGATTGTTTTCAAGTTATAAACAATTTAAAACAAAAAATAACGAGAGATGATGATCTTCAAGGCTTAGAATAATTAAGTTTCACTTCATTTTTGAAATTATGAGGTACCTAAGTTCAAGCTCAACATTATTTTATTAGGTCTTGATAATTATTTTGGACTTTCATTTTAAATCATTGTTTTTTAATTATTAATGTAGCCCAGCCCAGTCTTCCCACAAAGAACCTTCCTCATTAACAATTAAAAAATATTTGCAAAAATTGAAAACATGCATAATATGGCAAACATTCTTATCAGGACTTGATACAAGAAATTTCGCATGTTTGTACTTGATGATTACAAAATTAATATTTTTGCTTGTGTTGTGAGCCTTGAAAATCGAAATTTTTCTTTTTTTCTTTTTAGTTTTAAATTATTTAAAACTCGAAAACGATCGACTTCAGAGAAAAATTACAAATGACCTTTTTTTGTTTCGAATGATAAAAATAAAATAAAATAATATCAGCCCAAGCCGAATTTTTATTATACTTCGAATCTCACCTGGGTGGAGAAATTCCGCCAACATCCGGAACGGATAGGCACCGTAAGAAGAAGAAGATTTCTCATAACTTTTTTTCTGGTACCTTTAAGTACATAATATCTATATATATATATATATATATATATATATATATATATATATATATATATATATATATATATACATTGCTGAATAAAAAAATTTGAGTCAGGTATATACCCAAAGGTACCAGAAAAAAAGTTTAATGCGAATTTTAAAAAGTAATCATAAAAAATATCAAGAATCTTTAAAAGTATAAGCTTTGAAAAACCATAAATTGCTTAAAAATAGTCGTACAACCTCGTACAATAGAATACAACCGTAACGGTAATTGACTTCTCTTCCTATAAAATGTACCATTCTATCTACCTAAAAGTTCGTAGAAAAAAGTTACAGAATTTCAAAACGCACAGTTTGAATGTATGATTGTATTTAGGAATTAAAGTGGGGAAGCAATATTTACGTTGAGAATTAAGGGGAGGTAATATGAAGAGAAGAAATCTTTTATGTTGAACCGTAGTGTAATTGTCTCTCTCGAACATAGATGGCGACACGGTTTTTGAGAACAGAATAGTTGCTACGTTTAATTTGTGTACGGCTGCAGATCTATTTGGATTATTCAATCAACGCTTAAACTAATATATGAAAAAACAAAAACGTATCCCTCAGACCAACTTATTTATGAAACTCAGGTTCTTGATGTCCGGCAGTTGTAAAACTGTCAAATTATGAAACAGGAAGAAAATTTAATGTCGAATATCTTCACTATTTAAAAACAATCACGCAACGATCAATTAAATATTTTGCTCCAATAATATACAATCAATTGTCCATAAATTATAAAAATATCAAAAATTTTTATTTGTATCAAAAATTAGTTACTGCTTGGTAAAAGAAAACAGGGAGTTGTGTAACAATTTAATAAATTTAAATTATACTAGATAAAAAAATATAAAAATTGAATTAAAAACTATAAAAATAAAATAATTATTTGTAAAAAAAAACAATAAACATAAATCTGTAAATATTAGACAGATTAAGTTAACAAGCATGTTTATGCTTTCAGGACTTTTTTTACGTTAATTTTATTCTAAGTAAACTGAAATTATAAATTGGTGTAATAACTTTTGATTTGAATAAACCTATATTATTATCAAAAGAGACAAGAATATAAAAAACGTGTCAGATACTTTTTCTTTATTCATTTGTAATCATATTGGTAATATGATAGTTAAATGTACAAATCAGAAAGCCGAGGATTTCTATGAATCTAATGTAAATATTTTAAGATAGTCTCATGAAGTTGATTATGTAGAAATAAGGGCATTTATTGGTATATTAATGTTAAGAGGACGATTTCGTAAATATTTTTCTTTTATCTTCTTATTGGTTAATTCTGCCTGTTTCTGTTTTCTTAGAATGTGTGTTCATGTTGTATTGTCTGTCCATCTTTTTCGTGGTCGACCCACACTTCTTCTATTTAAACAATATGTACTCAACGAGTATGTTTCAGGTGATGAGAGAAATAATTACGTTATGATGAGCTGAATAACCAAGTAATGGTTTTTTTCATAGAAACAAGAGTTTGTAATTTATTTTGTATGTATCTCGTTGACGACAAATGTCACCTGTTACTGCGTGTGAAAGAGAAATTCGATGTAAACTTGCCAATTATAAATATACTCAAACTATTTCAGAATTCTACATAAAGTTTACAAAGCTTTTTGGATTACTTAAAAGTTTACAAAGTTTTTTGGATTGAAAATTTAGATTTTTTTGAAAATATTGAATATGTTCACGAAATAACCAATACAAATTAAGATGTGAGAGGAAGAGATAATGTGAAGTTTTCATAGAAGAAAATTGGGACCAAATTATTATAACATATGAAGGTTAGAAAATAGTATGATCAACTAATCATCTCACGGACTTGAACCGTGTTTTAATTGAATGATCCATGTGAGGGTTCATCTCGACGTTTCGCAAAAATTATACATAGCTTTATCAGGAGCAGAATAGGAAGTTAGTCACCTCAACTCAACCATATGATCCAAATCTGAAAGATTATTAGTTGATAACTCTAACTAGGTTTCTAAGCTTTTAAGTATGATGAATTGATACAAGCATATTCAGTTTAGTTTTTAAATTCTAAAATTATTAATAAAAGAGAAAAATATAAATACCAGTAATTTTAAGCTATCTGTTTTTGCAATTTCTAATGACGAATCCAGCTTTTCAAGGGCCAATGTAATACACGAATCTCCAAATTCGGGCTTGGCACACAAACAAGGGGATAAAGCTTCAGAAAGAGCTTCTCGAGTTATGGACTAAAACATAAATAAATAAAGGTAATATATAACTTAAAATGTATTACCCATACCAAAATCTAAAACTAAAATGAATTAGTTGACAAAACCAAGAAAAGAATATGTATATACATCAAATAAAAACCAAATATTATTGCGTTGGAGCACAAATTAGTTAAACCTTTCGCATTTGAATTAAAATCAATAAAACAATATAACTGTTAATTATGTATCTCTAGCTTGTCATTCGCTCAAGCTGATTCAAATTCAAACTCGAGAAAGTTCTGTGAGCTGATCACCAAAATAGGAAATATTTTGAAGACATTAGTTGAACCTTTCGAGTTTGAATTTGAATTAGGTCGAGGGACTGATGAGGTAGAGATACTGAAATAACAGCTATATCATTCTATTGATTTCAATTGAATGCAAAAGTTTTGACTAATTTGTGCTCCAATGCCATATTTGGCTTTTGGCCAAAACAATGAGTGGATCTCAATATATTAAATCTCTTACCGATTCAGTTGGAGGGGCTCTAAAATCCACAGGAAAGTAACATGCCAATACATCAAATATGTCTTCAGTTAAATGTTGCAGAGAAAAATGATCCAGAAATACTTTCATCCATTTGAATAAAAACAATAAATTTCTAGGGTCTCTTTCTCCATCCACTAGTGTCAAAACTATGTACACAAATTCCAGTTTCATTTCAAGTATATCTAAAAATTACATTAACAATATTGAACTTTCTACAAATTATTAATCGTCACAAAAGTTAAAATATCAAAATCTACAGATTGGATGTTGCTGAAGATATTAATATGTAACTATAAGTACAATATGTACTGTCCCATGGAATTAAAGACAGTTAAATCAGATTTGGATATCTCCAAAACAAGAATTTATATCTATAAGAAATATAAGGGAACAGTGTTTAGTAACAACTTGGAGCTACATATTTTGTTGGGCAAAAAGAAATACTTAATAATTTTAGTAAAATATTTTAAAGATATACCTACTCTCTTTGTGTAATTTAAGACTAATTTCAAATATTTGGTATATAGTATACCTATCTGCTCTCTGTTGTTGCTGACATGGTACATTTTTATGAATTAAATTAAGTAACACTGGTACTTGTTCTCCTGGAAAATCTTTGAACTGAATCAAACTTAGTATCCCTGATAAAGCAGCAGGCAGGACCTAAAAAAGCACAAAACTTTCACTTTAAATTGAAAGAATATTCGCAGGATAATTTTGGACAATTTAGTCAATCTGGTGAAAGTATATTAAATGATTATTTTATTTTATTTAGAGTTATATTACAAGTTATTTGGAAACTCAATTTTACAATTTCTCTATCCAATAATAAATGTGATAAACCTATAAGTTTTAATGCACATACAAAAGAAAAAACACATTTGCAGATTATATTTGAAGATTGTGAGTCAAAACATGTTTAGCTCTGCAAACTCCATTAAACAACCATGTTGATAAAAGCAATGTTGTTTCTCTAATAGGTATTATAATAATTATTAGAAGCTTATAATGTAACCCCATAAGAAATTGAAATAATAGAAATTAAAGCACAAAAATGGGAACAAATATATCTTTCCTGGAACCTGAAACAAGTTTCAACTAACAAAAAGCAGCATTCAAGTCATATGTGTGTTTTTGGGGATGACATTATAGTTCACTAATCTTTCTGTTAAAGCTTACAGAAGGTTAACAAACATTAACATTATTTTACCACTATCTAATTACCTAGTTGCAAATCTCCCTTTGTTAAGCAGACTTGTTGATTTTTTATAAAAGAGTAGAGCATGTCATTAATTTCTGCTACATATTTTAGGTTTTACTATTAAAAATAATGAAAATACAACTTCACCAAGTTAGTAGTAAGAGAAGTCAAAAATAAATATATACATAATATAAAAACTACTTTCCTGATGATGGTCATTAAGTTTGTTGCCGTAAAATACTGCTAAAACCTCTAACTGTTGTTTGTTCAAGGAATCTTCAGAAATATTCTTTAATACTTCTGTTAATATTGAAATTCCTAGATCCCTTTTAGATGCATGGTCGTTTGTTAACAAAGTGTCTAAATGTTCGATTAAGTCAAGAATAGCAATGGTCCTTTCCTGGATACCTATAATTTAGATATTTATATAAATATTTTTTTTATTTACACATAAGCATTACCTTTGGAAATAACCAGTATATTTTCTTTAAATGTTGCATCCTCTTTATCTTCAAACTGGTTTATAATTGTTCGTAACTCCATTTGTTTCATTTTGAATTGATTCAAAAATATTGTATTTTATTACACCAAAACATTCAAAAATATAACTATTATAACCTTAAAACCACGAGAAGAGATAAACTTTTTGACAGTGACACATTGCCCTTTGCAATGGCTCTTCTTTTATGGAAAAAGTAACGTTGACTATTTGTGCACACAATCAAGATTATGATAATATTTACAGTAGGAAAATTATAAACATTTAATATATGCAAACATTATCATGTAAATTAAAACATAATATTAAATTTTTATCAAATTCTGGGAAAACTAACATTTTCGAATAGTTTAAATAAAGTTAAAGTCCGGAGATGGATGAACATTATATTTTAGATACTGAAACAAATTTAGGTTCCTGTTTCCAAAAAAAAGAGGAGTATTATTATTGTGGAAGTTGGAAGTTGAACGTCACTGCCAAGACTACAATTTTGACTTTGGTGCAGAATAGATAATTTGTAACTGTGGAGATTTTTGAATTAAAGTTTTTAAAATAAGTAAAACATGGTTCGGCAACGTGAACGTAGATCTCAGGCAAATTCAGATAGCAATAAAGCCGATAAAGGAACCAATAGCAGCAGCAGTAATGGAAGTAGTACCTCAACATCAAAATCTTCAGAATCGGTTAATCTATTTCATTATTGGAAACAATTTGTAGTCATTCTAGTTCTTAGTGTAGCAGTTTGTTTTGGATATATGGGTTATTTAGAAACGAGAATAAATACCCCGTTCGATGATAGAAAGGTAGGCATAGAACTGATTTGAAAATGGAGTTTTGATGTACTTGTGTATTGTTCCTTTTTAGGTAGTTTCTCATAGCGGTTTAGATGTTCCTGATTTATTTTGGGGTAGTTACAGACCAGGTGCTTATTTTGGTTTAAAAACTAGAGATCCAACGTCTTTAGTTACTGGTCTTATGTGGTATTTTCCTCTTCGTCTAAAACCAGGGGGAGATGGTATAAGGTAACTAAAAGAAGCACGATTTAATATCAAAACTAAATAAAAAATGAAAACCAAAAAGTTTAAAATTTGTTAGGATATGTATTACCTATTCCAATAGTCAGAATTATCATAATATTAGGGTATTCTTTTTAGACATTGGTGTGAACAAGGTGACAACCTGGAAAAATATGGTTGGTTGCAGCATGATGGATACAATTTTGGTATTCAAGAAATTATTGATGGGCCTTTTAATATTACAACCTCATTTGTAAAGAAACCAGGAGGCAATCATGGTGGAGAATGGTCAGCCAGAGTTGAAGTCAATTATAAAGTGAGTAACTGTTTTAAACATCTCCTGAAAGGGTGAACTAAGTGGTTTTAGGAAAGTGAATTCTAGATGTGGATTTTCAGTCAAAGATCCTAGGTTTAATTCTGATGGCAGTAAAATACCTGATGTTGTTAAAACACTTAAAATTTGAGTAAACAAAGGTGAAATATAAACTTTGGTAAAACAAGAAGAAAAGATAGTTAGGCATAACCCTGGCACTGTTACCTTCCATCTTTTAATGGTCAATTATTGAGAATTTACTTTTTTCAGTTACAGTTTTTTTAATACATGATAGTTTTCTTGGTATTATATTTATGGATATTTTACTAAAATAATACCTACTATACTAATAGGTATGATGTTTTTCTCTTAATATCAAATGGTTATTATTTAAAAAATCATTTTTTTGTTATCTTTTCTTCATTGACTGTCAAACTGAAGGATGTAAGTATCTACTCACTTTTGGCAAGAATAGTACATTGTTTACCGGGTAGGAAAAGCTTAACATTCCTGGACGACTGTGAAGATTGCTAAGTCGAGGCACAAGCCGAGACTTAGCAACACAGAGTCCAGGAATGTGGCTTTTCCTACGAGGTAAACATACTATTTTTCCGCAAATCGTTTAAATTTCGAAACATATTGATTGATTAAAAAAAAAACGCGATAATTTTATTCCCAAATAAATGGTGCTTTGAAATTCCTAATAAAATTACTTGGGTTACTATGGAAACGTATTGAGGTTGAATTGTCAAACTTGACGCTTATAAATTTAATTGCTGGTGTTCTCGAAAGTAAAATGATAAGTGATGATGTTCCGTACTAACAACTGTACGGAAATATCATTTCCTTACAGTGAGGAAATGACATTTCCTTATAGTAAGGAAGTCCTGACTTTTCTTCAAGAAATTTTGACAGGAATGTCAAAATTTCCTGGCGATTTGTGGAAAATATTATTTTGTTTAGATTCTATTCATACTTATTTATGTTTTTCTATATTCTCAGTTGAACTAGTAAGGAGTATCTTATTCATGGTTTATTCAGTTTTGTTTTTTATTAACAGATGTTTCCAACATATTAAAATTATTGTCTTATAAAATGGAACTGCAATAAATTGCAAGTGTATTTATATAATTCTGCTAGCTATCTCTCCCACTTTGTGCTATATTAGAGGCAAAGTTACACTCTTCCACTTACTAGAAGACCCAGGACTCTGCATACTGCAGGCAGGAAAATATATTATTAGAATGTATATTACTGAGTTCTAAAGAAATTGGAAAATGTTTCTTTTATTATACATGCTACTCTTGTTTACTGCAGTACATTTTGTGTTTTCAATTATCAAACATCACTATTTATCATATTATATACTTAATATTTATTAACAAAATTAACTTATTAAAGAGGTGATATCATTCACTTATCAAAAGCTTAAGCTAATTAGAGTAATAATTATAATTATTTCCACTAGATAGAGAAAGGATAGACAGGGAGAGAAAAGAAAGACTCTATTCAGAATTTGAGAAATACACTCCACATCATAGAAAATAGGCCACTCCAAATATTTAAAATATTTTCGAAATTATTATTTATTGTTACAAAATGAAGCATGTATTTTTTTGTATATATATATATATATATATATATATATATATATATATATATATATATATATAAAAGCTGGTATCCATTTTCTCTATAATGGGTATTGCCACCTTGATTCTGGATGACACTCCTCATTCGATTTGGCATGGAATTTATAAAGTTTTGGGTATCTCTTTGGGGAAAAGTGGCCCATTCCTTAATGAGTGCCATCTGAAGCTCTCCAGATGCTGTTGGAGCAGGTATGCGACACCTTATGCAACTTTTTAGTAGGCTCCATATATGCTCAATAGGATTTAAATTGGGGCTTTGAGCAGGTCAGTCTATTTTTGGAATACCAACCTCTTTAAGGTACTCTGTTACTATCCTTCCGTGTGTGGTCTAGCATTATCCTGTGTGTGTACCTTACTGCTGTTAACGCACCTTTGTCAATCACAACGAGATCCGTATGCGCATCAAAAGAAATCCTTGCCCAAAACATTACTGAACCACCACCAAATGCAACCCGTGGTGCCTGAGCGCAACCAGTGAAATGTTATCCAGCCCTTCTGTACATCTTACTACATCCGCCTTCATTAAATCTTCATTTTTTGTGAGCTGGGGAAAGTAAGGGCTACGTTGCTGGACTGCAAGCTGTCAAACCTTGCTCCCTTAATCTTTGTCCTTGAGCTTGCTGTAAATGTAAAATGGGCATAACACCCACCTTTATTGAACAACATGTTAAGAAGCAATGTCCAAATATTAGGGATTTTAAGGTTGAACCGTTACCAGTTAAAGGTGAAAATATCTCTTTCAAAATAAGCATCCATCCAGATGACAAGGAAGATTTTTCGAGGCCGGATATTTGGCCTAAAGGCATCATTTAAAGAAAGTTTTGGATTTCCAATAAACGCCAGTCTGAAAATTTTCAACAAGATCGAGGAGATCAGACGGGGATATAACTAAAAATGACTCCTTGAAATCAAAATCAAATGTATGTGTTTACTATCTCAAACTGGGGGCATGCGAACAAAAATACAGAGTTTCCAGCAAGCTTTGAGTTGTTCCTGCTATGATATAGCAGATGATTGCAGAGACTTGGTTGAATTGCGATTATTCTGATGCTGAAGTGGGAGTTCCAGAGTATGACATTTATAGATGTGATCGTAAATTGGGGTTAAACACTCTAAAGACACATGGAGGTGGTGTATTAATCGCAGCTAAAAAGAGCCTTTCTACTCAAAAAATCTTAGTTCCTCTTGTTGACTCTGACATATATCAGTTATACCTAACATTTAAAATCAAAACTCAAAATTGTGTTATTGGCTGTGTATATATACCTTCCCCATCATCTTCTCAGTCTTATTTAAGACATTGTGAAACTGTTGAATATGTTTACACTAATTTTTCAGATAGTTTGTTTGTCTTGGCAGGTGATTACAACCTACCACAAGCTAAATGGGGCAATGATGAGTTGGGATTAACAGTGACAGTCACTGGAACTGACTCTGTAAGTATTGTAGCAAATTGCTTTAGTTTCTATAACTTCTTTCAAAAGAATGATATTTTGAACAGCAAAGGAGTCCCATTGGACCTGGTTTTTAGCAATTTGGAATCTATTAATGTTACTCCAGCAGTAGATAAAATTTTTGAGAATAGTTTAAATCATACAGCTATTAGTTTTGAACTAGTGTGTGAAGAAAATTTTGATGTTATGAATTAAGAGGAATACTTTTATGATTTCAAAAATGGTGACTACTTTTTAATAAATATTTATTTAGCAAGTATAAATTGGGAGGTACTGTTTCTTAATGGTACAGTTGATAGTATGGTGGTCATTTTTTATGATATAATTTACTCACTGATAGAACACTTTATTCCACCAAAGAAATATAAAACCTCTACCTTTCCCTCTTGGTTCTCGTCAGAGCTGCGTAACCTAATTATATGTAAAAAACAGGCCCACAAGCAATTTAAAATTAGTGGTAGGCAAGATGATTATGACCGTTTTATGGCTTTAAGAAACCAGTGTGAAATTTTAAGAGCAGACTGTCAGAAACAGTATTTAGATGGGATACAAAATAACATTTCCGATAATCCAAAATATTTTTGGTCTTATATTAAAAACAAAAGAAATGGGTATAATATACCATCCAGAATGGTCTATAAGGATAGGGTTGGCGTAAATATGAAGGACTCTGCCAATATGTTCGCAGAATATTTCTCATCAGTCTACTCAGATGAACAAAAAGATACTTTACCTTTTTTTAATTTTGACAGTTCTATTTGTTTGAGTTCTATAATACTTACAGCAACTGAGGTCTATGATACTCTTGCAAGTTGTAAAAACAGATTATGTGCAGGGCTGGATGGAATCCCAGCCTATTTTCTGAAAAAATGTATATATGTGTACTTACAAAACCAATTTTGTTTATTTTTAACAGATCACTTGGTACTGGTAGGTTTCCCAGTCTCTGGAAGAAAAGTTTTTTAAAGCCGGTTTTTAAATTGGGTGCAAGGAACGATATATCAAACTATCAAGCTGTCTGTAATCAGTCGGAGCTGCCCAAGTTGCTTGATTGTTTGGTTAGTAAGAAACTGACATGGAGTTATAGAGGCATTTTTAATTCTGAACAATTTGGCTTTATGAGAGGGAGGTCAACAGATACCAACCTGGTTTTGTATGTCAATCATATATATAACAGCTTTGAAAAGGGGTGCCAGGTTGATTCAATCTATACTGACTTTTCCAAATCATTTGATCAGGTAAACCATGGAGTCCTCTTACAAAAACTAAGAGCTTTGGGTATTTTGGATCCCCTTCTTCAGTGGATTACATAATTTGTTAGTGGCCGTACGCAGACAGTTAACTTGGGAAGTGACACTTCAATTGAAATAACAGTTCCATCAGGCGTGCCACAAGGCTCCCTGTTGTGGCCCTGTTTTGTTTTGCTTGTTTCTGGTTGATTTAGTACAACAAATCAAAAATTGTAGTGTTCTTATGTTTGCTGACGATGTGAAACTGTTTAGAAAAATTCAACCCTGGAATGATGCTGTTATATTACAGGAAGATCTTAAATCGTTTTATGATTGGTGCATTTTAAACAAAATGTCACTCAATATAAACAAATGTCATAAAATGACATTCTCGAGGCAAAGAAATCCAATTACATTTGTTTACTACATAAATAACTTGCCATTAGCCTCGAAAAATGAAGTATTAGATTTGGAAATTTGGTTAGACACCAAACTGTCATTCTCAAGCCACATTAACCAAGTAACAAACAGAGCGATGAAAGTGCTGGGATTTATCCAACACACATCTGTGGATCTGTCTTTATTTACATTTAGAAGACTGTATTGTGGTCTCGTTAGGCCCATTCTTGAGTTTGGATCAGTTGTATGGTCCCCATCATACCACTGTTACATTCAACAGATTGAAAGAGTCCAGAATAAATTTTTGAGGGTAGCAGCCTATAAGAGTGGATACAGGAGAGAGGAATACGACTATCAGTGGGTAAGAGATACTCTTAACTTACCAACACTTGAGTCAAGGAGGACATTGTTAGATTTATGTTTCTTACACAAAGTTTTTAATGCTTTTATAGATTGTCCTTAACTCTTATCGCTTTTTAGTCTTAAAGTTCCTAGTAGAAGCAACAGACAATCAGAAATCTTTTCGGTGCAATTTCACCACACTAATTATGGTATCAATGAACCAACTACACGATTGGTCCGGAGTGCTAATAGCTTGCCATGACAAATAGATATTTTTGACTCCAAAATTAGTTTATTTAAAAAACAACTAAAAAGTATCTTACAATAAGTTGGTTGTACATCTGTATTATTCTTATATGTTTGTATTATTCTGAGGTGTTTGTTATTTTAATAACTTATTGTTGTTAAGGTGTAACTTTGTAAAACTTGTGATTGTTATTTTAATAATATATTGTTTTTAAGATGTAACTTTGTAAAAATTGTAAGTAAATGGATGCCGTATATAAATAAATAAAATAAAAATGGCCTTGAAGTATTCTAGCGGTTTGGATCTGATTGTTTTCCTTTTTGGACCCGTACCAGGTCGTCGTTGGTGAGATCCTGTCACAGTAAATCGTTGCTGGTCCTTTGTACAGTCGAACGACTAACAATAAATTTTCTTGCAACTTGTCTTAGACTTAATCCACTTCACAGTAACGTTACAATTTCAACCGATTTTTGAAATTTCTCCATCGTTATTAACTCAAGACTACTTCGCACTAAGTCAGCTACTGTAATTCTGAGATGCATTTAAAACTCATTAGAACCCTTTGTAATATCATACATTTCTCAAAACAATCGTTTCCTCGAAAATTGATCAAGTTGTAAACAACTTTTTCTCAAAATTGTTGTGTTTTATAGGTCCTATGAATATCCTCAATCCAGTTACAGGGTCGGTTTGCTTTCGCAACAACCCATTTAACCTAAATAACCCAAGACACATTAAAAATAAAATAATATTAATTCAATATACAAAAAAATAAATGCCTAATTTTGTAGTAATAAATAATAATTTCGAAAATATTTTAAATATTTGGGGTGGCCCATTTTCTATGATGTGGAGTGTATTTTAGACCTAAGGAGTAGCTAAAACAGGATTCTTTGACTTACTAATGTGGATGATCACAACTTAAATGACCAGATCTCCTGGTTTTTGAATAATTTACTAGATTAAATCAAATAGTTAAGAATTTGGAGGAATGGACAATAAAATACTTGTGATGAATGGTGACATTTTCATGTCAATTTTTTTATAAATCATTAACTTTTTGTTTGTCCTCTTCTCAGAGGATTGAAAGCATTAGAAACTACTTTGTACAAGGTTCGTCTTTTTAGTTTTGCATATAGCTGCTAAGAGGATGCCACCAATAAAACCTTCCAACACAAATGTAATCTTTTGTTAACATAAATCAAGAGTTTCATTGCAATACAATAAGTTTTGTAGATACAGTGAATTTTTAAAATTCAGTTGAAAAATCAATCTTAGCCAAGAATATTTTTTACAATTTTTGGAGTGGAATATCCCAACAATGCGTCGCTGGAATGGTTTCTGTGTTTGGGAATGAAGCATCACACCTGTCAACTATTTCCCACTGGTACTGCGAATTTCAACGTGGTCACTTCAGTCTCAGTGACAAATTCAGGCCAGGTCCACCCAAAGCAGCAGTCACACAGGAAAACATTAATGCGGTTCGTCAGGTAATTAAGGATGGCCGGTAAGAAGAGCAAAAACAGTTCACGTTAATTGGTGTCGAAAAAACATTTGAATAGTTCAACAAAGGAAGTCCAAAAAACATTTATATTGTTGTTAGTGGAGATGAATCTTGGATTTACTCCTATTAACCGGAAAATAAATGCTAATCCGCTAGGTGGGTGTTTCACGATGAGAAAAAATCAACAGAAGTGATCCATTCTTGAAGTGTGTCAAAGAAAATGGTAGCAACTTTTGTGTCAAAATCTGGTCATGTGGCAACAGTTGCTTTAGAAGATCGAAGAATGGTTACCTTTGATTGGTATATAACCGTTTGTTTACCAGAAGATATCACAAAACTCCGACAAAACAACATACAATGGTGAATATGCCAATGCTCACACTACCCAAAAGACAATAGAGTTTTTGGAGCTTCAAAACATCAAATGGTTAAACCATCCCCATATAGACCCGGCCTAAACAACAACTTCTTCACATTCCCAAAGATTAAGAATTCAAAGCGTGGGCAGCAATTCCAGTCACCAGAACAAACCATCAATGGGTTTAAAACAGCGATTTTGCAGGTGTCAACTGAAGACTGGAATAATTGTTTTACCAATTGGTTTAAACATATGCAAAAGTGTATCGATCTTGGTGGGACATATTTTGAAAAACAATAAAGTACTTTAAGTCTATATATTTTTGCCTTTATGGCTACCTATATGCAAAAATAAAAAGACAACCCTCGTATTACTGCATTTTCTTTCTTTCACTTGTAATCAAAACTTCCTCCTGTTTTGTTTATCTCTTTACCTAGCTTTCTCAGTTTCTCTTAACCTTTTTTGGCACATATTTAGTCATTAATGTTAGTAACCTGCAAATATTTTTTAGAAAAATAATCCTAATGTAAGTAAAGAAGAAGTTTCCTTGTTATGGTATGTTGCCTTAGATGAAGAAACCAAGGGGTCCATACAACCCACAAACCTTGCCACTAAAATCACTGGCATTAGAGGGAAAACTGCAACATTGGGAGATTTTAGAATAAAATTAGTGAATACATCAGGTAATGATAAGAGATAATACAGATTCATTGAAATCTAGCAATCCTCAAAAAGCATTGAATTTTCAGTGACTATCACTGTTTGCTTTCAATTGGAAACATTTTCTCAAAAATGAAAATGTTAATAAAGTTTTAAGAGTTTTTAAAACACTAGATTATGTAATATTAATATTAATTAACATCACTGAAGACCCATAAATAAAAGAACCATAAATTAAAGTAGAATGTTATACTATGAGATCTTACTGCAAAATCACTACGTTCATAACATAGTTAATCAAACTCACATTTAAAAATAGGGGAATACATTGATAACAGGTTGCCAGTCAAAAAGTGACCGCAAATAGTTCTGATTAAATTACTTAATGGTAATTATTGTTTGAACAAAAATTTCTTTCATTTATAAAATATAAAATACGTTCCTTATTACGTATATGCATGTTAAAAATCAAATTAAAGCTAATTTTTCTTAATATGATGGTATAAGGTTGCCTGAGAAAAAAATGGTCGCAAATTATATATATATATATATATATATATATATATATATATATATATATATATATATATATATATATATATATATATATATATATATATATATATTATTTGCGACTATTCGGCAATTCTTTCTGTGGCGTTTTCTAATGCATTGATGACTTCGATCGACTTCTTTCCTGTATAAACGCAAAAGTTGTCTGTGTTTTGAAGTAATCTGGTTTCTTCATTAATAGAACTGGTAACATCAGCAGTGTACAGCATAAATAATAATCGACTTAAAATGCTTCCTTGTAGCATTCCAACTGATGTTGATTTGGGCATACCTATCCCTCCATTTTTATTTTTAAGTGCAATTTTTTATCACAGTACAACTTCATTAGGTTCGCAATAACACCTTCTGGAATTCCTATGGCATAACTGTTAGTATGTCTAGACTAACTACATAATATACTACCTTAACCCATTATCGCTCAGTGGCAACTTTGCTTGCCAGTGAATTTCAACATCCATAAAATCTCATGTGTATTTTGTGTGGCCTATTTTTAGGTGGTATATAATTTTTAGCATGTCCACATGTATTTCTAACCTACAACTTTGCTTCCAAACTTATCAGATGCTCGCTAGTAGTTATTTCAATATCAGAGTTTTGCAGCAACCAAACTTAGTCCTAAACAATGTAAGTATTTTTTAGTTAATTTATAATATTTTCTGTTTATATTCAGTTCATTTTAAACTAAAGGGTTATTATATATTCTCATCTAAGAAACTTTACTGTTCATTGAATTATAACATAATTATGGTACACTGAATTCACGTTGCAACTTTAGTTGCCACTGAGCAATAGAATGATTTATTTTTTCGTTTAGATCTGAAGATAACACGTTTAGCGTAGATGAGATCATGAAAGCTTGTGAAGAAAATTACGGATAAAGTTTTTTAGAAGAATTCGGTCTGTAGGAATAGTTCCTCATATCGAATCTGCTGAAGCTGATACTGACGAAGATCCAGATTTATCAAATGACGAAACTGAAGGATATCCGATCATCTATCAGGTAGAATTCTCAGATCGCAAACGATTGTTGAGTTGGATAAGGAAATTGCTGAGAATTATTCAGAGAGTACAGGAAATATATGTTTGGATCACAAAAATATTGATTTGCCACATCCAGGTACTTCAAAACCTATAAAATAGAAAATAGTTGGAATTTAGCTGCCATTACTATACCCTCTGACAAACTATTCTTTATGGCAATAAAAAAGGAATGCATTGCTTAAATGTAACTTATTATGAAATTTCTGTCTTATTGGGAATAATCTTCTGTAAAGTAGAAATAGTAAAATCTTGTTACCACCAACTGCCGAGTAAGCGTATGTATTGGCAAAATGAACCTGACTGCAAGGTAGCTATAGTTGTAGAAGCAATGCGGCGACGTCGATTCTAAGACATATTACGGCATCTTCATTTAAATGATAACTCGAAAATGAATTCTGACAGGTTTTACAAGGTCGGTCTCTGTTTGTTTATCTAAATAATTTATTCAAGCAAGTACCAGTTGGAAATTCAGTTGCTATAGATGAGAGCATAGTCCCGTATTATGGACGTCATCCTACAAAACAATTTATACGAGGCCAGCCCATTCGTTTTAGGTTTAAATTGTGGGTTTTAGCAAACCCGAATGGATTTGTATCTCACGCTGAACCATACTGCGGTACAGATACAAAGCTTCCTGATACTGGACTCGGACAAAGAGGAAATGTAGTAATAGGACTTGCTGAATGTGCCAACGTTCCTAGCGGAACTAAATTAGCGTAGCTGCCTACGAAAGAATCTTTCAAGAAATGTGAGAGAGGGACGACACGCGTTAGCGGAAACGAATGACAATGCCATTGTAACAGTATTCTCAAATTGCCACACAGAAGCGCTGTTTAACCCTATAACGCCGAATTTTTAATGTATTCAAAAAAAATTTTTTTTCTTATTACTTATTTTGCTATTATTATTTACAGATTAAAAAAAAAGTTTTTTTTTAAATATTAGGTGTTTTTTTTGAAACGTTACGAAATCGTCACAAAAGTCCTTTGTTTAGAAATAACTCATGATTTAAATTTTGAAAAGTTTTGATTTTTTGCTTAATTTTACATACATAGTAATGCACAATATCGATATAAAAGACATAATAAATTTAAAAAAAAAACATCAATTTATTATAAATTAAATACAAAAATAGAAGTTATTATGTAGTGTGGAAATGTATAAAACAGTTCTTTTCCTTTGTAATGCACAGGTGTACTTTACATTTGGTGCACATATTTTATATACTGGAGCACTTCTACAATTGATATTTTTACACCTACTCCTATCTGTGACCATGGGCAAGTGATCAATCCCATCTAGACGTATGTCTGCTACCGGAATACTTTTAGTGGCTGGACCTAGCTTCTTCTTTTTTGAAAATCCTGCATCTGTGCTGGTTTTTGATGAACAACCCCTTTTTGATTGTTGGGTTCTTTTCCCTTCCAATAGCAGTGCCTCTGCAATGCTCATTTTAAATTCTTGGAGATTAACTATGTTTCTTTTAGGTACCTGTAAGGATTCGCAGTCTCTTCTGTAAATGAGCCAAGAGTTTACCACAGTAACATCTAAAAAGTGAAAAAACAATTTGTGATAGAACTTTTTAGATCTAATATGAATTCTGTAAAGAGCAATTAATGCATCCAACGTCCACTCCACCCATAAATTGGTTATAGGTTTTGACAATAGCTGGACAGGTAATTGTAATATTCTGTTTAGTCTTTTTGTCATATCGCTCGCATGTTTCAGTAGGTTCTGCAGACGAAAATGTTGATAGCAAATTGACTACCCGATTATCAGCCCATTTTACTGCTCTGACTTCAATATTATCTACTAGAGTCGAGACTTCTTGGAAGGATCCTTTACCTTTTTTTAGTAAATCTTTATCCTTGTTTAGAGGAACTCCCGATAAGCGATTTATCCTTACTGTTCCAAGGCAATAAATTTTCTTTTTTGCCAAATGCACCATCAGAGCTAGAGAGGTAAACCAATTATCGAAATATAGGAGATGATTTGCACCTACAGGAATATGAGTGGCTAATTGCAGTACCACATTGAAACTAGCTCCTAAATCTGGTTCTCCAGTTACTGGTTGGATTTTTTCATATAAAAAATCATACATAATTCCTTTCTCATCACAAAGAGCAAATAATTTGTAGCCCCATTTGTGTGGCTTGCTGGGTATATATTGTTTAATGCTAGATCTGCCTTTGAATGGTACTATTTGCTTATCAATACATAACATTTGAGGCATTGGAATTTCTCTAAATTTCACCTGTAAATGATTTATTAATGGCCTTATTTTGAATAGTTTGTCATATGTGGTATTATCTTCTGGTATTGTCGAATTATCGTTAAAATGGATTTTGGATTTTATTTCTTCCCACCGATCCCTGGTCATTACTTCCGATACAATTGGACAGTTTAACTTAGTTTTCCAATACAATCTTGAGTTGGATAGTTTTACCATGGACATTGCCAATAAGGACCCTAAAAATCGTTCCAATTCAGGAATTGACAATGACAGACTTTTATTGGGATTTTCTTGAATGGCATACAAGTTTGACTGCTCAACTATGTGAGTCAGAATATCTTCAGAAAAAAAATTTCTAAAATATTCAACAGGTCGCTTTACAACTCCAGACGGCTCTAGTTGACCTAACCATATAGGAAGTGGTTTAGCAGAATCTTCAGTTGACACATGTCGCCAAAGTGGATAGGTTTTACGACTCTTTGATTTTAATGTTTCTGGTGCAGCTACTGTTTCTCCACTGGCTTCACTTTCTTCAGTACTATCGACAGATTCATCTATAATAAAAAGAGAGTATAAATGAGTCATTTCAAACTATAATACAAAGAGGCAAAGCAGTCAATACAAATGACTAAAAAATTATAAAAAGAACTATAAAAATAATTACCCAAATCCTCGAAATTAATATCAGAACCATCTACAGTATCTGTACCACTCTCATCCATTAAGGGAAGACGTTTTTTGCCATAAAACTCTGCACAATCCATAATTATTTTGATCAATCTAAAAAAATCCAAAAGACGAGAGTGACGATTTCGTAACGCTTAAAAGTTTCAATAAAAATACAGAAAAATAATTAATTTTAGCACATATTACCTTCGCCAAACGATAATCGTCCTTCTAGAAGTATGTAAAAAAATATCCAATGTTCATATGCTGCTTGATTCCAATTTATAACAATAAACACTCCACAGTACACTATAACCTAACTTTTCATTAGTGCACTGTCAAACAGAAACATCTCACGTGAATGTGCCGCGCGAACATAATCAAAACGGGTTTGCTATATTTTCACTGAAATGTAACGATACCGATCCCGTCGGCGTAGCCGTCCTACATGGGTTATTTTGTGCATAAGACCAGTGTTTATCAAAATTCAGCGGTTTAGTAAGCATGAACAAAAGAAGGTGATAATTAAAATGCCTGATGCCATTTCCCACTATAATTCTTATATGGGAGGTGTTGACATAAATGATCAGTTCACTGCTCAATATAGCAATATACATATATATATATATATATATATATATATATATATATATATATATATATATATATATATATATATATATGTATATATATATATATATATATATATATATATATATATATATATATAGATATATATATCAATTCAATATCAATTATACTGCAAAATTCTGAGGATAATTGTTGTTTTCAAGGTTGGCTTCTATATAGGCTGTTAGGTCACGAATTACCATACTTGCAATTACAACACAAGTAGTATTACAGCTTCTTACAAAATATGGTTGTTCTCCAACTAAACCCGGGTCGCATACATCGTTTTCAACACCCGCTCTTTTATGAGATCTAAGAACGGACAAAACAAATCACATTATCGTGAAAAGAGAGTCAAAGTACCGCCGATGCAAAATGTGCGAAAGAAGAATAACATCTATTGTGCCCCTACATGTGACTTGCTTTGCAACTTTCCATAAATAATTTCCATACTATGTATCTCTATTTTTGTTAAAGCACGATTAGTTTTTAATACATTTTTCTGACATAGAAATTTTTTATAATTCCAAACCGTAAGTGCTCAGTGGCAACTAAAGTTGCCACTCATTTTGAAAACCTTTTGACAGACTGACTTTTTTACATCTGTTAGTAAATATATAACACTCTTTGTAATAAAATTTAAAAAAAAATCAACTTTCAAACATTTTTAGGTCTGAACACTAATGGGTTAATGTCTAAAAATAAGCAGGAGACTGAGTTGTTTCGGGTAAATGCTAATTGTACATTAGTACCAAATGATGCTGTAACTTCTTGTGTCAAGCGTATTCTTCTGAATTCATACTGGACTGCTGGTAATAACTAATTTTTTTCCAGCCAGTGTCCTAACCTATTTTTAATAATAAGTCGTTCATATGTTTTCATGACACAAGATCCCTAAGCGCTGCTTAGTTAAAACTGGGATTCAGCAATAATTCTGTATATGATTTTTGCAATACAGTTTATTTGGAGTGTCGAACGGCCTAATGGTAGAGCCGATCTTGAAATACTCTAAACAACTTTACAAACATTATTTTTTTAGTCGTTTCTTTAATTGTTGAGGCGAAGGTTCTATACTGGCGTTGTATTACTTTTTTCTCTATAGTAAAATACTGCGGCTATCATCAAGGGATTTACGCTACGAGAAGGCGTCACGAAATAGCGGTTCTTCACACCGATTCACTACTCTTGATTAATTCGTTTCTAGTTATCATATATTTATATTCTAAGCAGGTTTGAATTTAAAACTGTATGAAAAATAACTAAAATAATATAGGCATTAAATGGGAAGTAAATAGTTAAAAGAATATTTGTCAAGAAAAGATTCGATTCGTAACGATTTTCAAAATTTTTAAAAGTTATAAATGTAATCAAATTAAAAACAATATTGAATCAACAATATAGAAATCAAACATCTGTTTAAATTTTTATGGCACTTATTGTTTTAAAATAATTTCATATAAATACAATTATTATTTTTAAACATCTTATTTATTAGTTTATAGTTATAGTTTATGTAATAATTGAATTTACTATCAAATGATATATATTTTATTATTTATTTATATTTTATTATTTATTTAATATTTCGTCTGTGTAAGTTTTGTTAATATGTTAGCAGATGACGTTAGGATCAAACATAATAATTTATTAAATTATTTTAATATAATATAACTTGTTTTAAAATATAAATAATAAATATTGCTTTATAAAATTACTTTATTAAAATAGAAAAATAATTTAAAATTTAAAAATACAGAAATTATAGTATGGAGCTTCGTGCTAGTCTACTGTACCACCTACATGTACCATCTTTTTTTTTCAATTATACTTGTTGCATCATATGATTTGTTGTAGGTGTGCTAAGTCATGAATCGTTTTTAAGCACAACAGCACCTGGATTGCATTTACTTAAAGAAACTGTGATATCGTCGTTAAGACTTGCTCAAGACAATCCAAAATCACCAAGAAAAATTGTGTTAGGTGGACAGTTACAAGCATTTAATGGAGATCAGAAGGTAATATATAAGAACTAATTGTCTAATTTATTTCAGTTTGTTATATTTTCTCCAGGTGTTTTGTAAAGAGTTATATAATCTCTTAGTAGATGTTAGATACCCGGCAACAAGTGAATGTAGAACTTTTTTGATTTTTACGAGGGAAACTAATGAAAAGAGAATACTGCGAAGTGATGAGAAAATAACCGAAATAATTAAAACCTTAGGGTCATTATTAATTATACATACTCATGTCAAAAGTGCTAAAAGAGATCTGGGAATCACAGGAATATACCACAGAAATTGACTAAAATCACACTATGTCAAAATCATAAAAAATGTTAGCATAGGATCTGTTAAAGTTGCATTGTTGAGATAACCCGTACTCGTACCCCCTTCGCATTGCCAAAGTGTCATGTCTGCCGTCCAGTCTTACTGTGCTGTAGTTTATATTGTATTATATAGAAAAGTTCAGTTTTCTCTCAAGAATGTCGTTTTCTAATGAAATAGCACATAATATCGAGGGATTCAGGGATTCTACAGTATTCACTGCCTTCCCTTTCTCAACCGTTTCCATCTCTCTCTGTTGTCCCATTCTCCATCGTTTAGGCCTTTTACTCATGGTATCGTCTACTTCGTCCCTCCAGGATCTTCGGTGTCGTCCTCTTTTCATCCTTCCTATGGGGCTTTATTCGGTTATTCTCTTTATCCATCTGCTGTCACTAGTTCATTTTACATGTCCATACCACTTTAGTATCCATACTGAGAAGTTGTCGGATTGCTGTTCTTGTTTGTCCTAATCTTTGCGTAATTTCTTCCTCTGTTGTTGCCTTTTTCGTGATTATAAACCCCAAGTATTTGAATTTATCCTTTCCCTTGGTTGTTACATAGTCATCAATCTGTAGATCTTCTATGTCTTCTTCACTTGGAGATAGATACTCTGTTTTCGCGAGGTTAATATCTAGGCCAGCCTTGGTATATTCTTCTTGTAGATTCTTCATCGTGTAGCTGAGGTCGTCTTGGTCTTGTGCAATCACTATTTGATAGTCTGCAAAACTTAACGTATATAGGTATTCGTTCCGTACCGGTACTCCAATTCCTTCGTATTTTCTTTTCCATGTTATAAAATTTACATATTTTAAATGTGCTCTTAGTGGATGCAATAGTAAAAGACAGACCTGGATATAGGTCTCCCCCAGTTCTCTCCATCTTTCCCTATCTTGAGCTGTTCTCTGCCATGTGGGACCTCCTTGTTTCCTGATGTCATCTTTCCACCTCATCTGTGGTCTGCCTCTTGATCTCTTTGCATTGTATGGACGCCACTTTCCGATGGCATTGTTCCATCGTCCGTCTTGGAGACGTTCATTGTGTCCAGCCCATTTCCATTTCAGTTTTGCTGCTTGTTCTATCGCGTCTACTGTTTTTGTTCTGGTTCTGATCCACTGGTTACGTTTTCTATCTCTAAGTGATACACCCAACATTTGTCTCTCCATGCGATGGAGAGAATAAAGACCTTATATTTTATTAAAAAAAATTTATTTAAAAATCCTTTGTAAACAGTATATAATTAAAACACCCTATCCGGTTACATCACAGAACGTTTTCGGAATTAATATTCCATCACTAGTGTTATCTAGATGTACATGTTTTGAGCCACTAAATACTTTGCTAAAAACCCGTTAAATGTTGTTAAATTGAATTTAACTTACATTATTTGATCTTATATACTAGAATGTTTAAGTTACAACAGGAATTGATACTACTGACAAAAAAGGCAAATACAAAGGAATGCAACGAATATCGTATGACAGCTTTGATGAGTCATGTTCTAAAACTGTTCTTAAAAATAATCCGTAATAGGATCTATAGAAAATTAGACGTAGACATCAGTAACACTCAGATGGGATTCAGAAAAGGGCTGGGTACAAGGGAGGCTCTGTTTGCAATGAACGTTCTCTCACAGAGATGCTTAGACATAAACCAAGAAATTTACGCCTGCTTTATTGATTTCGAAAAGGCCTTTGACAAAGTACAACATGAACCACTAAGACAAGTTCTAATAAAGAAAAATATAGACAGCCGATATATTCGAATTATATGCAATCTATATTGGAATCAAACAGCAAATGTCAAGGTTGAGGGCAGACTAACAGAAGAAATTCAAATCCGTCGAGGAGTCCGGCAGGGATGTATCTTATCGCCACTTTTATTTAATCTGTATAGTGAAGCTATCTGTGAACAAGCACTCGAGGAAGAAGATCTTGGTCTGATAATAAATGGTGAGACGATCAACAATATAAGGTATGCAGACGATACAGTTCTCCTAACGGGAACGCTAGAAGAACTACAACATCTCGTTCAAAGTCTCAATATATACTGTAACAGTTACGGCTTGAAAATTAATTTGAGAAAAACTAAATTTATGGTAATCACGAAATCAAAGAACATCAGAGCTAATCTTGTAATAGACAATACAACGATTGAGCGTGTGCCCTGTTATAAATATCTAGGTGCTTGGATCACAGACGATACTGATCAAACAAAAGAGACTAGATGTAGAATAAAAATCGCTAGATCAGTGTTTAATAGAATGCGCAAACTCTTTTGCAATCGTGATATCAATATAAAGTTACGAATACGAATGCTGCGGTGTTATGTCTTTTCTACCCTGTTATATGGAGTTGAGGCTTGGACACTGAAACAGTTGACCATAAAAACATCGAAGCTTTCGAGATGTGGTGCTATAGGCGCATTCTCAGAATATCATGGATGGACCGCGTCACTAACACGCAAGTACTCCAAACTTTAGACAAAAGATGCGAAATTCTAAATGAGATAAAAACTAGAAAGATGGAATACTTGGGGCACATTGTGAGAGGTGAAAAGTACGAACTTTTAAGAAACATCATGCAGGGCAAAATTAGGCCAAAAGAAGTGTGGGAAGAAGAAAAATATCGTGGTTTCGTAATCTACGTGAATGGTTCGGGTGTAGTTCGATTGAACTTTTTAGGCGCGCTGCTAAAAAAGTCGCAGTGGCCATGATGATTTCCAATCTCCGCTAGGAGTGGCACGAGAAGAAGAAGAAGGAATTGATAACATGGCAACGTAAAACTTCACTGGAGGTTGCTAGTCCTGAGACAGTGTCTACGAGGACTTGTTGATAGCAACTCAAGTTTAGTTTCAAGTAATCACAAAATAAAATAAAAACGAAAGTACTGTGAGTAGTACAACCTGATAATACCTACTTTCCTCTAGCATATTCATAACTGCCGGTATTATAAAAACGCTATTTGGGATGGGGGTAGTTCCACATAACGTAGGCCCGAAATGCTAGTTTTTAAAATTTCTCTTTTTAAAATACCACTCTGTGCGTCGTTTGTTTACAAATTCAGATTTTTGCTTTAATCTGTGCCTCCTAAAACATAGTCGAGGAATGCAAATTTTAGATTCCCCATGTCTCTAATAACATCTTTATCAACGTCTGTTTTGCCTTGCAATTCTTAGAAGGCACAGATTAAAGCAAAAATCTGAATTTGGTTTCGAAAATTAGTTTACGGATTTTAATATCAGATGTCGCTATTTGCATCCATTCGAAGCCATGTTAGAGTGTCCTAAGACCGAAGAGATTTATTTTCACGTTCAGAGCGACTATGAATTGCCGTTCTGAAGACGCATATTAGGCCGAAATAGGTATAAGCAGATACATTAGCTATGGAAAATACAGTTACTCTGTAGTAAAAGATAATTCATAATGTCCTGGACCTAACGTAATCATTTAGTGACGTCGATATACGAACGAAACAACGAAATCCGGCATTGCTAAAAACATGCAGTTCTCTTCAGTGCGTTATCGTAGCGAGACAGAGACGAACTAGTTTTTGCGTTAGTAAAATAGCTTTTTATATTTTTATTTTATAACTTTCAAACAATCTGAAACTGAAAAAAAAAAGAAAAGTGGCTTAAAGACACACAATTATTTTTGAATTCACCAAAAATTCTATCGGTTTCTGATACTTTAGTTTGGGCTTATTTGATTTTAAAACATTGATTTTAGTTGTTTGAGGGCCTTATCCCAACCTAAAAATGGATTTATACAAAACTGTTTAATGAATTAGGACCACTTTTTGTATGGGCGACGTCTTGAACAATATTCTGCGGTCTTTTACGAAAGTGATTATGCAAAAAATCTCATGCGAATATTTTCCCCAAGGAATTCGAGGTTTTCGTCTCGTATAACATGTTTTGCTGAATTTAAAACCAAAACCTTATTATTTTTCTATCATATATTAATTTGTTATTTATTTATTTATTTGTCCTCTAGATTTTTTCAGGTTTATTTACAAGCCAACTTAGTGCATTTCACATTTTTACACAGTAATTCTTATCGGCAGTGAAGACGGGAAATCGTTAATTTTTATTACATCTTTTAATGTGAGATAAAATAAAAATGCGATGACTAACTGGAATGTTTAATTAGAAGATTAGAGAAACATAATATGTCATGTTTATTGGAATTATTCGACATCATTAGCACGTGCAAATCCTACCCTGTCGCCCAATTTTCTATGAAATTAAAATGGTAAATGTTTTTAGGATCCATTTATTTTTTCGGGCATGCGCATTTATGAGGTCCACGAGATTTTGAAACATTATAATATGTTCCATCGTTCCGGTGACAGACAGGTAATAGGTTCCGGTAACCTATTACTTTTGTCGCCTATTACCCAAGCTGCAAGCAGCTCCATTCCGCTTGGCCTGCTATAGTTTCTTGTAGTAATCATAATATCTGTTACAATAAACGAATACTTTTTGTTAATGTGTGTTAATATGTTAATATAAACTACTTAATATTATTAACGTAGAGGCACTCGAGAATTTATTTTTGTATTAACTACAAACAACTACACTAGAATAAGAGCAAGCAAATTCTAATATGTATACTCCATTCCACGAATATACGACTGTTTTAAATTCGCTTTAAGGTGTCGACTTAAATGGTCCAATGTGCTGAATTGTACAATGGTAAATTCTCCCCATTTTTAAAATACTGTTATGACAGATATACACCTTAGATTTAAATATGAAGTTATGATCTAAATATAGAATTGATAGTTTATAGAATAGTTGTAATTCAGATTTTGAAGTATACTCGTATAATTACTCTCTTTGACTTTAGTATTGTAAACAAGTTGGTTTTTGAATTAAGTGATTTAATTTAAACAAAGTGTAACAATACTTAAGTGATTAAATAGTTTAATTTATTTAGTCGAATATTCAATTAGTATTAAAAAAACAAAAATACTTACTCTTACTTTTATTCTCCTAATCACCATTACAAACAAATACACTACACTAAACTCTCTCTTAACGGACACGTCTCTTCACCGGACACCTCTATACGGACTGTTTTTAAAACTAAAATCAGTAGGCGATTTATGAAACTGTATGTAAATTTTCGTTACTTTTTAATATCTGTAATGACTCGGTACTTTAACTATCAATAGCCGCCATGTTATACCCGTTATTTTCGGAACTTTTAAGAGTATATCCACTCAAAGCAAACAAAAAACTAACAAAGTGGAATACTAGATTCTTTTCCTGGTTTCTGAACCATCGTTCTGCCAATTTCTTTTTATTTATATTAAAAATATTATATTTATTTTTATTACCGTTGTGGTACCTAATAAAGTAATAAAGATACCGGGCGCGCCTCTTTGGTGTTTACATTTCACCGAAATCTAACCCAAATGGCCGATGAACACATTTTAACTTCATAGAGGTCATTGTATTTAATTGTAGGAGCTTTTACGTAAATTTTTTTGTTAGTTTCGGATTAATTTTTACAATAAATTTTGCGTCTATCTGAACATCTACTAACTGAAATAATTTTAGTTTATATGTAATAGTAACAGAAGATCCTTTTTTTATGGAATAATAATTAGACCAATTTATTTTCATACCTCTACTTGTACAGTAAAATATTCGTTGTAGCAATAATTCCAAACAGTCGTATATTCGTGGAATAACCTATAAACAATAAACCTGGTCTCCGTCTTAATAATAATCGTACGTGCTTATGGTATTCCCAGCTATTTAACTTTATAAAACATAAAGCTCATCATAAATTCGGTGACAATGACCATCCTATTCTGTTTTCTGTTACCGATTGAGCGACCGATTCCCATCCTTCGATATTGTCACGTCAACATACCGAATGCAGATTCGAATACCATTGCGTTTTACGTTATAGTTACCCTGTGACAAAAGTAATAGGCAGTTTGCTGTAACCTATTATTGAGAAAACTAATACTTATTGGTAATAGTATTATTTATCCAAATACGTTATATAACGCCCATCTTTAGGATACATAGACGCACTATACGTCACATCAAATCTTAACTGCCTTTTCCTTTTTTATTCTGATTACTCTGTACGAGTACTAGAAACCAATTCGCTAAGGATTTTTGCTTAGTTGAGGAGATATGTCGTGGAATGCAAATTTTAGATTCCCCATGTCTCTAATAACATCTTTATCAAAGTCTGTTTTGCCTTACAGATTAAAGCAGAAATCTGAATTTGGTTTTGAAAATTAGTTTACGGATTTATTTATCAGATTTCGCTATTTACGTCCATTCGAAACCATGTTAGAGTTGCTTCCTAAGACAGAAGATATTTATTTTCACGTTCAGAGCGACTATGAATTACCGAAATCTTAACTGTCTTTTCCCTTTTTAAAAAATGCACAGTTGGAGATGATAAATAAAAAACAGAATATTATAGAAGACATTAAATCACAAAGACTAAGATAATTGGAACAGAAATGCAGATAATGTTAGATGAAACTACTTAAAAGAATTTTAAGTGGTGGAATTGGAGGAAAAAATAAGACAAAGACATAAAACCAAAAAGAATTTTGGAATTTTGAAGAAGATATAGAAGAACTTCGTAAACGCAGACGACAATGACAAACACAGACGATCCCAGATGTAAACTATAAATGGCAGTGAGATAGAACAAGTCCAGGAATATTTCTACCTAAGCCAAATTCTGAAACTTAAAAAAAAATTCAACCAGTGCACCTTCCTGTCATGACATATACACTATATGACATAAACTAGCCATAACAAAAGTTGGATGTCACAACAAAAATTGCCAAAGTCAAATGTAGCTTCGCGAGTCGCACTGCTAGGCAAAAAGATCAACGTTGGTACGACACAATACAACATTTGAGACCTTACAAAGGTAGACGACCAAGAGGAAGACCACAGATGAGATGGGTGGACGACGTCAAAAGAATAGCCGGAACAAATTGGAAGTATGTCCCTCAGGATAGAGATCAATAGAAGTTGTTGAGAGAGGCCTATATCCAAAAATGGACGATAGAAGGCTAAGAAGAAGACGATATAGAAGAACTAAAATCACAAACTGTAAAACTAAAGTAAGAAGCAGAATAATCCACCAAGTGATTGAGAGACTAGGTCTGCTGAGCAAATTTATGTTATATGTATGTAGCATCCACGATGCATTGTTTTAGGTAACTGTTTTGTAAATATCAATTATGAAAAGTTACCTTGAATAGTAGTTCTGTGACACTAAGTTTTAAAAAGTACTTATAAATAGTATTGCATTTTTATTATTTCTAGATAGATCCAAACCTCGTAGCAATACAATTAACCGGAAAAGTTCCTTTTACTATAGATATCAGTTATGAATCAGGTTTCAATACGCAGGAAAGTTTAAATGGAAACGCCTATACTGAAGTACTTGAGACATACAGAAGAAAATTTTTGGAAAAATTTGAGAAAACGTTTAAATTAAAACAAAAAGGGTAAGGTTAATAATATATTTTATTTATCCATAAATGTTTTATTATATTTTTGACATTTCTTTATTCTTACTATGAAATTGAGTTTCCACCATTATATATAAAATTTATATTTAAAAAATCTGAAAATATGTCCATTTATCTACTTGACTTACAACAAACCGACCATATGTACATTTGGCCTCAGTATGTTATCGTGTTTAAGAGACTGTGGTCACATGACGGACGCAGTTTCTGTGTCTAAAGGTCGATTCAGACACATCAGTCCCGTCATAGTCTCGGCGCCGAACCGGTCCTATTTGGTCACAGAAGTATCAACTATCTGACAGCTGGGAAACTATTCGTCGCCTGATGAATGTGAATGCCGGCGCCATATTTCTATTAAATAATATTTTGTATGACGGATTGTTCGGTTCGGCGCCAGGACTGTGACGAGACGTGACTGATGTGTCTGAATTGACATTTAGTAAGTTTTGGTCTATAGAAAATGGAAATCTGTCTTGCTCCATTAAAACCTGCCTCCAGGTTTTGTAGGTTAAGATTTTTGTTGACATTTGTATTTTACTGTGGTATCATTGTATTCATTTCGTACAATAGAAAAGTATTCATATCTTCGTATAATGAACAAAAAAGGATTATCAGAAGATGAACTTCGTTGAATACTTGAAGAATCTGATTTCAGTGATTATAATATATCAGATTATGACTCTGATGCTGATACTGCTTTATTCTATTTATTCTGAACTTTATTCGAGTCGTGATGAAGAAACTGGACCCAGTAATTCTATTGATAAAGTTTTAATAGGTAACTGATTTCGCTCACAGTACAGATTGGTGTCTTGATTGTTTTCTTACTTTATAGAAAGGGGTGACGATATTAGTAGACTAAGAAAGAAACAAAAGTTTTGTAACTAAGCAGGTCCTTCTAATTTAGTCGATGATTTAGTAATTGGTAAGAGGTCTTATTTGCAATTTTTTATTTTGTATTGATTTGTTGATTATTTATAACCCAGAGAAACTGAAGGAATCGTCAACATATACGATGTTCAACATTGACGAAGAGCAACTACGTGGTCATGAACCGATTGATTTTTACTTAGTATTTGTTGATAATGAAATTCAAGATTTGTTAATAACAGTAACAAATAGATATGTTATAATGTGGATGGGATTAGACAAGAAACCAGAGTTGAGAGATTATTGGAGCAATAATCCACTTTATAAAAATGTGATTTCTCAAAGTGGCGGTTTTAGCAGGAACCGATTCAAGGTCTTTTTACATTGTTTTCACATTTCCGATAATAAAAATATTCCAGTAAACAGACTATACAAAATCTCACCTCTTATAACAATCTTGAATAGTAAATTTCAGAAAATTTTACGCCTAAGAATTCTCTGTGTATTGAGACAATAATTCCTTTTTGTGGAAGGTTAAGTTTTCTTCAATATATACCTGGCATACAACTTGTTCCACACTGCCAAAGACTTTGCAGTAGAACTGGCATGATCAGAGTAATACCGTTTACTTATTCCCCATATATGCATAACTATGCATAATCTTCCTCCATAATTGCGTTAAAAATACAGGGCTACGGCGGAAGTTGAAGAACTCTATGTCCATATTGTTCAGTCATCATATTGTATTGGTTCTAGTTTATTCCTCTAAGCAAGTAAATATTAAAAGCCTATCTAGTTGCCCAAATTTAATTAAAAACATAACTCTGGACCAGTTAAAGCAATTGAGGTTTTAACATTATTTATTTGTAGGAGCTTTGTTAATTATTATGCCACGATACGGACAATTATCCATTATAATAATTGATGTGGTTCCTTTTCTAAATTATTCAACAGTTGATGTTCAAACCATTGCAAAAACTTATAACGATTCATTTCTCCGTGGTACCTAGTCAGTATTCTTTGTTTTGAAAGAAAAAACCAATTCAGCTCCCTGAATAAATCCATTACAATTTCCTGCATGGAGAACGCTGTATCTAAAAAGTAGGTTAAATTACTAAATAAAATATGTGTCTCAAAGATCTATATTATGGTTCAAACTCACAAAAGAAATTCGGAAACCTCTTAGCTGAAAAATTTGCAGTTACTAAGAGTCTCAGACAAGGATGTTGTATCTCTCCGACTCTATTTAAGATTTATATCTCTGCAGCCCTGAAACAATGGAAAAGGAAAGTCAAAGGAATGGGTATACAATTCAACGATCAGGATTACATATATACTTTACACTTTGTAGATGATCAGGTGGTAATCTCAAATGACAAAGACGACATGGAATACATGCTTAGAAAACTAATTGAAGAATACCAGAAATGGGGATTAAATATCAATTTAGAAAAGATAAAATACCTCTCAATTGGAGCTGATGCAGAACAACTCGATATCGATGACAATCAAAAAATAAATCCATGTGACGAATATAAATACCTGGGCGTCATCTTCGACCGTAGTGGAAAAAACGAACGAGAAATGTAACATCGAATTGTACAAGCACGAAGAGCTGTAGCATGTTTGAACGGAGTTCTATGGAGTAAAGAAATATCAAAGAAAAGAAAATGGAACATCTATGAGATAATGGTTAAAACTAGCCTACTTTATGGAGCTGAGACATGGAGAATAGCCGAGAAATATAAGAAAAAGGTCGAAGCCACGGAAATGGATGCCATCAGAAGATCGATGAGAATATCAAGAGCAGACAGAATACGGAATGAAGTGATAAAACAACAAATGGGTATAGAGGGCACTATAGTTGAGGATATTGAGAGAAAACAGCTCATATGGTATGGGCATGTGAGCCGAATGGGGGACGAAAGATTGCCTAAAAAAACAATGATGTGGCAATCCCCAGAGAAGAGGAAACGAGGAAGACCACCACAGAGCTGGAACCTGGGAGTTAGGAAAGCGATTAGCGCTCGAAATTTGGACGAAGACCTAACTCAAAACAGAATAAAGTGGCGTTTGGGAGTCGGACAACGTCGTAAGACGTTATAAAACCGAATATATATATATATATATATATATATATATATGTTTGTTTTGAGGTTTCCGCGGGAGCTATATGTGCTGTCACTATTTTTCCGGGTTTGACTCCGCGTTGTAAAGTGCTGGTTTTCTCGAAAACCATTGTTTTGGCGACGTTTCGGCAAGGTCTCACTTGCCATTCTCAAGCCTGGTGGAACTACTTCTCGTCGTTACTCGATTAGTACTGGTCTACTGTACTGACCAGTACTAATCGAGTAACGACGAGAAGTAGTTCCACCAGGCTTGAGAATGGCAAGTGAGACCTTGCCGAAACGTCGCCAAAACAATGGTTTTCGAGAAAACCAGCACTTTACAACGCGGAGTCAAACCCGGAAAAATAGTGACAGCATATATATATATATATATATATATAATATATATATATATATATATATATATATATATATATGTATCTAAAAAATAACTTAAACCAACAAATATAATATAAATATACAATTAGTTGTCTTGGCTATTATTGAAGATAATAGTAAATGCTACAAATACTGTTCTTGTATAATATTGATCAGTTTGATTTTTGTACATTCATTATAATTAAAAAAAAAAATGATGATGAATCAAAGCGTACTTCCAAAAACCATTTCAGTTTTATTTTAAAGCAAATTGTTGAATGTTTTTATTTCTTTTAAATTTAAACATTGCAATCAAACATAGTTGAGTTTAAAAAAATGTATTTTTTAAACATATATTTACCTTGCACCACCAACTTTAGTTTTCTTAAAACTTTTGTCATAGATCTTGGATCTTTGTATCTTGCCAAGAATTGCTAGTAGTACCATCTTGAAAAATCCATCTTTTTCAAGAAAATAAATGTGTATAGACCTTCATTTTTTAGTTTCACAAACTGCTGCAGAAACATATGTCATTTATAAACCATATTGGTTAATTCCATTAAACCACGTTGTAGATCATCTTTTTTATAACGAAAACCAATATGCCCTACAATTTTCCATAGAGAAGTAAGACTTCCACTAAAAATATCACATTCTGCTAATTTCTCTTGTGGTGTTTGTAATTTAACTTGTTCCTCTAAAATAATTATTTGTTTTAAAGATTATTGATATGTAAAATTGGCCAAAAACTTACTTTTTTTGTACATATCGTATATAACATTTCGAATAGTCATTTGGTTGAATTTGTCTATATCAACAATTGGCTTTGCCCTTTGTCGTTTTGCTTTGGGCTTCTTAATGGTTCACTACTATTGGCTTTTGCTGCAATTTTATTTCCAAGGGACAGGCTTATATTTAAAGCCGCTGCTACTCTCTAAAAATAAAAACTTCCATATAACCTCACTTTTTATTCAAAATAAAATACGATTGTTTTAAAAAACTATTCGAAAAGAAATAGTACAAATAATTACATACATCTCTAACTGCTTCAAACAACGGAAGTAATATTAATTGATGGTCACGTTCTGTCTCAAAACAGGTAATTAAAGAAATGACCATTTTCTGTGCACAACTTCTTAAAGCTTTAGGCATTTTTGAAAATATATAATGGTCTATTAGTTCTCAAAAGAACTTTTTTGAGTTTAATTTGTAGCAAAAATTGAAACGGCAAAGTAATAATTAACACGACATATCCTCCAATGCTCCAATTCAGAAACACAACAACAAAAAGCCGCGAGAAATGACCTGGCAATACTACAATATTTTGCCAACCGAATTTGCTAGATTCTATCACAATCTATACATAAGGAGTTTGCTGTATGGGTGGACATTAAAAGATACTAGAATTACATCATTTCATGCTTATCGTAAAATAACTAATTATATACTCTGTGTAAATGTATATTTTAATTCATAGTACAAAACTCTTTTAGATATCAACCAAGGGAAATTAAATTTGCTCAAGCAGCACTGAGTAACATGATTGGGGGAATCGGTTATTTTTATGGTTCCTCAAGAGTTCAAAGTGATTACATTAAAGAACCTGTTTATTATTGGAGAGCTCCATTGTACACAGCAGTTCCATCGAGGTATGTATTTAAAATGCAATATGCTCAGCAATTTTTAGGATGTATATTTTACAACCAAAACTTTGTGGAGGTGTTACATTTAACCTTCTTGTATAACAGTGGTGTCCAACTTGCAATGCCTCAAGTGCCAAAACTAAAACCTTTGATGTTGTCGCGGTCCATATAATAATTTTGTTACAAGTAATAACAAAATAAAGTGAGGTATAACAAAAAAGAGTATTATTTCTTTTATTGCTCAACAACTACATTTTTTTATAAACGGAAAATGTATTGATAACACTTTTCAATAATCAAGACAAACATTGCAAAAGCAACAAAAAATATGTATCCAATTAGTGTGAGGACTGTGGTCGATCAGCTTCATCCATAAATGAAGAAATGTCCACCTCCAGTTCAGTTGTAGACACTCTCATAAGATGACGTAAGGAAGAATCGCTAAGGTTGCTTCTGTTTTTATTTTTTATGTATTTTATGGAGGAAAAGGCACTTTCACATGTATATGTGCTTCCGAATATTGACGTCATTTTCAAACCAAAATCTCGCAGGTTTGGGAATTTCTCCGTTGACAGTAATTTGAAAAATTCAGGCCTCTTTTCTTGTCTGAAGGTCTTGAAGATTACATAACTCAAGCTGTAAGTTGGGTGGTTGATCATCAATGGTTTCTCCAAGAGGGTTATTATAAATTAGTACACTGCTTTTGAGACTTTCAATTTCTTCAAGTCTTCTATTGAATTCATCTATATCTTGTTCAATTTGTGAAATGCAGGATGAAAACTCAATATTTTCTTCACCGTTGAATTCTTCTGCTATTTGCAGACAGCTAGGGAAGTGTGTCAGGTTGTTCTTTTCCAAAGCACGTTTAAACACGTTCAGCTTATTCCGGAATACGTTTATCATTCCGATCAAATCTGAAACCGTCTGGTTTCTTCCTTGAAGACTCAAGTTTAACATGTTAAGACGATTAGTCAGATCTGTTATAAAAGCTAACTGTCTTAAGAAGTCTGGATCCTTAAACTTCTCTTTCAGTTCAGTTGTGCCAAATGAAACATATTTGTTGGTTAATGCAGGGATTTCCTTTCTTATGGTAAAAAATCGTTTAATGCACTTTCCTGCACTCAGCCATCTTACATGGTTGTACATTAGCAAGTCTCCATACTCAGCCTGTGTTTCCACTAAAAACTCCTTAAGTTGCCTGTGTAAAAGAGATCGATTTCCACCTCTAATCATATTTATAATCTTAATCACGGTTTGGAAAACTTGACCTTCCTTGACTGATTTTCCACATAAAGCTCCCTGATGTATAATACAATAAATTGTTGGGCAAGTGACACCATTCTCTCGAAGCAGACCCCGTCTGTTGCTATGGCTGAACATTTATCAAAGCCTCCAATTCTGTCAACTGTTTTCTTCACAGCCTCATAGATGTCTTTTCCTTTTGTTGTTCCATAAAGAGGAAAAATATCAAATAACTCCTCTTTACTGGTTAAATCATCAAAAGTAGTGCGCACAAATATTAACAGCTGACTAACATCGGTTTGATCAGTGCTTTCATCCAAACAAAGTGAGAAATATGAACTTTTCTTAACCAGGCTAAGCATAGATTTTCTACTTGCTCACCCATAGCAACAATCGTTCTTTGTATGGTTTGATGTGAAAGTGGCACTGATTCAAATTTCTCCGCCATTTTAGAATCACCGAAAATCAGCCTACATCCAGGTAGCCAGCCGCCATCGTGCCAGTAGCACACTGGCACGATGGCGGCTGGCGACGGATGGTAAGCAGTGGGAGGTGTGGCCTGCGTGAACTGTGATGCGCAGTAATCAGTGCAGTTCTCATAGTGGTGTAGGACGATTGTGTTCGTTACACATCCGCGAAGCGTCACGCGGTACAGTACTTGTGATGTAAAAACACTGCTAAACCATAAAATATAAAATAAATTAAAAAATCTTTTTTCACAGTGGCACCATTTAAAGAAAATATATGCTTTTCGAAAATCTTACGTGGATCACAACAAATAGCCTCGCGGGCCGGATGCGGCCCGTGGGTCGCCAGTTGGACAGCCCTGTTGTATAATCAACTCTTATATGTAGCATATTATTTTTGTGTGATTATGTTCATTATCTTTTTGGTAGTATCTGATCGTAAGAATATTTTACATCACTCTAGTAACAAAATCTTTATAGTTCATTATCAGACACATGCTGTCTTCTAGACAGCTTTGAAGACAAAATGTAGTTCCATACAAACATTTCTCACCTCCACCAAATGTATGTAGTGATGTTTATATTGTGTCCAATGTTTGTATGTGTGTTCAGTAAATGCCTTGTTACTATGTAAGGTCGGGGATATTGTCTTTACATCTTCTTCTTCAAGTGCCATCTCCGCGTCGGAGGTCGGCAATCATCATAGCTATTCGACTTTTGAGACGGCTGCTCTGAAAAGTTCATTCGATGTACATCCGTACCACTCTCTCAGGTTGCGCAGCCATGACATTCTACTCCTCCCTATGCTTCTCTTTCCTTGGATCTTTCCCTGCATAATCAGTTGGAGCAAGGTGTTAAAATTTTCTTGTTTTTACTGTATTTAAAATTTCCATTCCTTTATTCATCCTTCCAAGAACCTCTTTGTTTGTGACGTGTTCTCTCCACGATATCTTCAGTATTCTTCTGTACACCCACAGCTCGAATGATTCCAGTTTTTATATTGATGTCGCATTCAAGGTCTAAGATTCCATTCCATAAAATAAAGTCGAAAAAACATAGCACCTCGAAAAACCTAACTCTTAGTTCCAGTTTTAAATCCCTGGTACATAGCAATCTTCTCATTTTGTTAAAATTTGCTCTAGCCTTTTCTATTCTTATTTTGATTTCCTGATTGTAATCATTTGTGGAGTTAATCGTTGTTCCCAGACATGCAAATTTCTCCACTTGTTCGACGTTGGTTCCGTTTATTAGAAGATTCTCGTTATTTCTTTGAGTTTTCGATATTCTCGAAAACTATGCAAGGTCGGGGATATTCTCTTTACATATAGGTACGTTATTATATCCCAACGACTGCGATTTCTCTATTAAGTACAGATCAAGCTTACTTGATTGATGGCTAGATTCCCGGCTAGATACAACCCAATTTTTTTTCTACCCACTTTGCTACCGAGGAGGATTTTTTTAGTTGTTCTTTTCAAAAGTTTACTAAACCATCCTAATAGTTATGTCGAAAAAACTGTGATATGAAATATTTTGTTCTAATACATTATACATCAGCTTTGATTTTGTTTCTGGTACAAAAGTAAACTATCTTTTGTGAAAGTAGTATGGGAAATAATCATTGGTCAACAAATAGTTGATTTGAATGGCTCAGTAAATATTTTCGTTTTAGTTATCTTTAGATGTTGGCTATCATCATGCCAAAAATATCATGGAACATTTCTCTATCATCAACCGCTCAAAAGAGAACTTCCATCTGAGGAACCCTCCATTTTCTTAAATTATATAACCAAGATAGTTTTGTGTACCCAGATATCTTCTTCCTGTGACTTTTCCCTAAATATTAATTCACAGGAGTAGATATTAAGGACCCTTGACGATAATACCTCTCTGTATTCGTCATTCTAAGTATATCTACGTTGGTAGTGTGTCATCTACGACCACGACAAGTCCAGGTCACACATCCGTATAGCAAGACTGACCAGGTAGAACATTTAAAAGTACTTTTGCGAAGATTCTTAGGGATAGTTCTGTTGCTTAATACTGTTTCTGTTTTGTTGTGTTGCAAGACATGAAAGCCTTGCAAGATATGTCAATTCTGGTAAGAATTACGACAGCAAAATTAAGTTCTAGATAACCTGGACCTATATGTATTTTCTCTACTGTCGTCCATTTATTGTTTCGTGAAATGATATAAGATCTCTACGGCGTCATTCTCGGTTATCCAGACTAACAAGGATCTGAAGTATTTCAACTAATATTGCTGTGTCGTTCAGTACACATTGAACATTGTTGGTGACATCACACAAACTTTCGTCACTCCTCGTTTTATTAGAATCCTTCTAGTACAGACAGAGCCACTTCTATGATTGTCTAGTGGTATTGAACTTTAACTACTATTAAACTGGGAATAAGCCACAATTAAAGATAAAAATACGTTTATTGACGTTTCAATTTCCACTTCGGAAATCGTTCTCAAAATACAAACAGTAAATTAAACAAATTTTGTTTTTTGTTACATAGTGAAAAATTCTTCTAATAATTTAATTTTATCTGACTCATTTATATTGACAATTCAGACATACATTATGCATTTTAAAGTAGACGACTTTAAAATGATATTGCCAATATTGTTGAGTTGCGCTCCTGGGACGACTTTACTTATAAGATAGTTCATTCGATTACATGAAATCAACTTTAACTTGAGAATATCCGTCAGAAAAAAATCATAGCATGTAATTCGTCTTTAAAAAGACAAACACATGACATGATGACAGTAAAATTCTCCTGTTAGTGATTCCATAGTAAATTATGAGGGAAAAACCAGGAAAAAAACCTCATAATAGGTACTATCCCGACATTGTAAGTATTTGTTCGTGAATTTAGTTTACCTTCAACAAACATCAAAATTCTGATTTTATATGTTACGTTATTTAAAAAACATAAATGATGTATCCTCCATATGTTACTGACCTACTAATACTGGTATTTTCTTATTAATAACTTCCTCTTTCAATATTGGTAACCAGATCCTAATTTCAACAATATTGGCAATATCATTTTAAAGTCGTCTACTTTAAAATGCATAATGTATGTCTGAATTGTCAATATAAATGAGTCAGATAAAATTAAATTATTAGAAGAATTTTTCACTATGTAACAAAAAACAAAATTTGTTTAATTTACTGTTTGTATTTTGAGAACGATTTCCGAAGTGGAAATTGAAACGTCAATAAACGTATTTTTATCCTTAATTGTGGCTTATTCCCAGTTTAATAATAGTTAATTTACAATGCCACAAGAAAATAGCTTCAGAACAGTATTGAACTTTGTCAAATATTTACCATGGAACTCGTACTAATCGGTATAAAATTAATAAAAAAACATAATTTTATTGCTACATAACCCCTTATAGAGAACTCGTGGCTGAAAGAACTCGTAGCTGAAAGAACTCATAGCTGAAAGACCTGAGGAGATTATTTGACCGTTAATCCACAGAAATCTTTCGTCCAGCAGTTTCCAAAGCTACAATTGCCATCTGGATCGCCAAACTTCGAAAGGAGACGGTGCAATAAGAAAAAGAAAGATACCTTATATATCATAATACACCTTTGGATTTTTTGTCTCCAAGCCTGTCTATTCCGCCAGTAGTTTTCATTTAAATTTCTTTCTGATATTGCTTTGGTGATTCCGTGTAGCCATGTTGTAGGTGGTCTGCCTCTTTCTCTTCTCTGGCGGGGTCCATTCCAATATTATTTTTGAGCCGTTCCTCTCCCTTTCGCCCTACGTGTCTTATTAAGTGTGCCATATTAAGTGTTGCTTTTCTATACGTTGTAATATCGTTTCTTCTACTTCCATGTGAAAAACGGAAAATCAGGCCCACTGCTCGTGTTCTCACTGCTAACAATCCATGAACGATCTGCTATGATCTATGCGAGGATACGATGTGATGGTCTCCATTATGTACGTACCCTAAAGGTTTTCCATTGCTTTAGAATTTGTTGTTTTGATTGTTGTCCTAATAGAATATTTACTTAATAATTTATTATAAGGTTACGCTTCTTTTATTTCTTTTTCTGATTTATTAATTAAATTAAGTAGTACTTCAACATAAACATTTAAAATAAACATATTGTTTAGGATTAAACTTAAGAGGTCGCAGGTTAAATGATATTGGATGAATAATTATAAAGAAAAATGCAATATTTGTTTGTACATAAAAGTAGTGAAAATAGCAACTATCAATTGTGAATAAATTATGAAATCAACTGGTTTTACTCATTATTGTTGTTCGTACAAAGAATATAGACTTACCCTTTGTTCTATTGATGTGTTCTTAACAGGAATGAAGAGTTGGTCGTGGTACCGACGCTAGCGTCGCCGAGGCTAAGCATGAGAATCGTCCAAACTAGGTCCGTGTCGTTCGCTGTCGTGGTCTGAAGTCAAGTTTAAGTTTTACGAAATAATAGGAAATAATATATGTTAAAAAGGTCTTTAGAATGCAGCCTTAAGTTAGATCATATTACAATACTGTAACAGAAAAATATTAAAAGTAAAAATATTGACAGAATTTGTTCGTACTTTCCCAAACACACACACACACACACACACACACACACACACACACACACACATATATATAATATATATATATATATATATATATATTATATATATATATATATATATATATATATGCAAGAATGCAAAATTAATAAAAAATATCTTAATATTCTAGGAGCTTCTTCCCACGTGGTTTCCTTTGGGACGAAGGATTTCACGGTTTTCTAATTTCCAAATGGAGTCTGGACATGGAATTAGACATTATGAGTCACTGGTTTGACCTCATGAACGTGGAAGGTTGGATACCCAGAGAGCAAATTCTTGGAATTGAAGCTTTAGCTAAAGTACCCAGTGAATTTGTAGTTCAAAAGAATACGAACGCTAACCCACCTACCTTCTTCTTGACGCTAGAAAGTATTTTGGATATATATGATAATGAATTGAATGGTGAGAGATTTAAGTTGTTGGAAAGGCTTTATCCCAGATTGCAGGTAAGTTAATAGGTTAGTGAATCGCTTTAGAGTAATCTCTTGTAGTTGACTGTATACCATTTATCACAAAAAAAAATTGGTAAAAAATATGTTTATTTAAAAAAATAACCTTTCGGGCTAATTCACAGAACGTGTGCGGAATACATATTCCATCTTCAGTTCTACCTAAAATAAATATAACCAAAAGGTATACATGTTGAAAACCGCAAATCCTTCAACTGCGATCTTTTGTGTGCAATTTGTTTACAAAGAATTTCGTAAGATCCTACAAAGTATTAAAAAATATTTAATGAAATCGTTAAATTCTTTATGTAGTTATGGCAAACGAATATAATTGATAATTTTAGAGTATTAGTTTAATATTAGCTTAAAATATGTAAAACAAATAAATTTGTTTCGTTATCAAAATTCATAGGAAAAATCTTTTACCTGTTTTCGTCATATGTGTGACAAATATTCGTTCGAATATTTGTTTGGATTTTGAAGACCATTGGTTGAAGAAATGAGGGTGAAAAGAGAAATTTGGGTATTTGATTGATTTTGAAAGTAGAGATGAATTTTTATCTGTTTCGGACCTCAGAAGGAAGAACATCAAATCCTGACAAGCGAACAAATGCCGGCAAATTTTAACTGTGTAAAAGTAATTTGTGTATAAGAGTTAAAAAGTGGTAGCAGTTCTGGTCTATGAATGCTTGCAGTTTAAGTTTTGAAATATTTGTAAGTACAAAAGTTATTATTCATCGGGAGAATCACAATAAGGAGATTTTTGGCAGTCAAAAGAGATTAGGCATACAAAATTGTGTCCCTGATACTTAACGAACGACTGGCACGGTATACTGACAATATAATAGGATCCTATCAAAGAGGCTTCTTGAAAAACAAATCTACCATTGATCACATATCATCTATCAGACAAATATTAGAAAAAACGACGGAGTACGACATAGACTGCCATTACATCTTCGTAGACTTTAAGGCAGCGTACGATACTATTGACAGGTCCCAATTATATTCGGCGATGATCGAATTAGGAATACCAAAAGGTTTGGTAGAATTAATTAAAATGACAATGATGAAAGTCGAATGTAAAGTGCGCGTACAAGAGGATGTTTCAAAACCATTTAAAACCAACAGAGGACTGCGCCAGGGAGATGCGCTATCGTGCACGCTGTTCAACCTAGCGTTAGAAAAAGTTATGAGAGATTCGGGAATAAACTTAAAAGGTACGATATATACCCGTAGTATACAAATAATGGCATACGCTGATGATATCGTCATAATTGGAAGAACCCAAAATGAAGCAGTGGAGGCTTTCACACGTATCAAAAATGCCGCAGAAAACATCGGACTTCTGATTAACATCCAGAAAACGAAATATATGCCGGCCATATCAAGAATTCAACAAAATAACTTAGAGGTGCAACACGAAACGATAGAAATGTTAGAAGAATTCTGCTACTTAGGATCACTGGTAGACTACAAAAATAACACATCCAACGAGATAAAAAAAGAATATGCGTGGCTAACCGCTGTTATTTCGGCCTGGGCCCTCAACTAAGAGCGAGAAGTATGTCAATAGCAACAAAGTGCAAACTTTATAAAACAATAATACGCCCAGTGCTCACATACGGATCGGAAACATATGGACAATGACGACTCGAGATGAAGAGTTACTACGAGTCATTGAAAGAAAAGTATTGAGGACCATAGTTGGCGGAGTAAACGAACAGGGTCTGTGGAGAAGGCGATATAACTTTGAACTCTATAGACTTTTGGTGATGCAGATATTGTGAAGACCATCAAAATAAACCGCCTAAGGTGGGTGGGCCACGTTATGCGGATGGATGAGAGTGATCCCACTAAAATAACTATGCTAAACAGGCCGGTCGGAAGAAGAAGAAGGGGGCGACCTAAACTCAGATATCTGGACGATCTACAGGAAGATCTGAGGGAGATTGGAGTGAGGAGCTGGAGAAGACAGACACTTGATAGGGAAAGATGGAAGAATGTTTTGAAGCAGACCAAGGCTCACGAAGGGCTGTAGCGCCAACTGATGATGATGAAAAGAGATTAGAAACATTGTTAGGACGTTTAATCTAGATTCTGTGTAAGCAGAACAAAAGGAAGGAGTTTAGCTAGAGATTTTGACAATTGAACATCGGTGACATTTTAGAATTAAAAAAGTTTGGCGGTTTATCGAGAACAAAATTGCAGAGACAAAGATTTGAAATGGAACAATAAAAAAAAAATTATTAAGTTATTCACTGTATGATCCATCGCCAGACCCTTATGGTCAAATATTTAGAACCTACACTGGAAGCCGTCATGCTTGATGTCATCAAGATTGTAAATTTTATCAAGGGACATGCACTAAACACACGGCTATTTCGTGAATTATGTCAGGACGGTGAATATTCGGACCTACTTTATTATACAGAAGTAAGGTGGCTCTCTCGCGGAAGTGTACTAAATCGAGTATGTACTCTCAAAACTGAAGTGGAAATTTTTATGATCAAAAAAATATTCTCGCAGGTAAGTTTAAAAACTCTTCCTGGGTTGCATATCTCGCCTATTTAGCTGACATTTTTGAGAGTATAAATATATTAAACAAAGAATTGCAAGGAAAGAATAGTAATATCATTTCAGCGAGAGAAATAGTGTCAGCGTTTGGATTAAAGCTGTAATATTGGAGTCAGAAAGTAGAACAGAACAAGATAGCTTTTTTTTCAAGGTTAGCTTTGTTTTTGGAAGATTGCGAAAATATTACTTTTGCTGACATCAAGGATACAATTGTAAGACATCTTATCAAACTCAGAAACCGGTTTTCAGATTACTTTCCAGATCTTGATATATGTACTGTCAGTTGGGTTGTAGATCCTTTTAAATGTAAAATTGATATGATACCAGAAGAACCTTCAGGTTTGGCAGAAGCAATTCTTGAACTTCGATCTAATACTGAAGTACGTATTCAATTTGAGAGTAAACCAAATCTGTCGTCTTTTTGGATATCAAAAGCTGCAAAGGCATTCAAAATTGCACATGAAGGGGCGGTTAAAAAATTGCTGCCATTTGGAACAACATATTTGTGCGAACAAGGCTTTTCCACTCTAGTGAACATAAAAACGAAGAACAGAAATCGATTAAACGCCGAAGACTGTATTCAAATCGCTCTTACATCAAAAAGTCACAATTTTGAAGCAATTGTATCGAACATGAAACAACATCATTTCTCCAAAACGTGAAGGTAGAATGTTTTCAATTATTCTTTTTTTATAATTTTTTCAATTCTAATTTTTGCTAGTACAACCATTATTATTATTATAATTTGTTACAGTACCGCAATGGGTTTTAATTTTTTTATATCTTATTATTGTTATCTATTATTATGTTATGTATTTCTAGGTATCATAGAAATTGAATAAATGATGTTTATTTTATGTTTTAGTTATTGTTTTCTGTTCAAAACTATCATGGGGGCTATAATATGAATGATGCTAAAAAGAGGCCTTTTTTTTTGTTTTTTTGTTTTTTGCCTTGGGTAATATCAACTTACACAAAAATGTTTTGGGGTAATGATTAAAAAAGTTCCCCGACCGCTGAGTTAGGCGCTTACCAACACATTTTTCGATTCATTTTTATATTATAGATTGTTTAGATAACAGTGAGTGCTTGTAATTTAATATAAACTTTACTGAATAGCAATAAAGTTTAAATTGACTCTACATTTAGTTAGAAAATATTTTTACGGGAAAAAGAAAAGGGCTGTTACCAACACATTTTGTGATTCATTTTTATATTATAGATTTCTGTTTTAAAAGTTAGTTTAATTTGCTCTGCGCAGTTTAATTTATCAGGATAGGATTTATTTTTATATGTGTAATTTCCAAGGTATTCTAATATTATATGTAATTTTATTGAACATATTTGAATTTTATTTATTTCTTTCTACTCCTGTTATCATTATTGAACGCTTTATAAAGATAAAGGTATTTTTGAACTCAAATAAGAACCCTGAGATATAATAAAATCTAATTAATAATTTGGCATCTTTAGTTAAAATTATCCAGATATATGCAATTTTCTAGTTCATTATAGCTTTGTCTTTGACACATACATTTTTTTCTTTTAGGCTTGGTTTGCTTGGTTCAACACAACTCAAAAAGGTACTATACCAGGATCATACAGGTGGCGCGGAAGGGATGCCACATCCAAAAGAGAACTCAATCCGAAAACGCTAACGTCAGGACTAGATGATTATCCTAGAGCGTCACATCCAACTGACGATGAAAGACATATCGATCTTTATTGCTGGATGGCCATTGCTGCAAAGACTATGGCTCGTCTAGCTAAACTGTTAGGAAATGATGGTTACAAATATGAACAAACTGCAAAGTATTTGTTAAATAATGAGGTTTGTATTATTGGCATTATTTTTCTGTAGATCTAGTAAAATAAAATAAACAGAAAAAACTGTTTACTATTTGTATTTGTAATAAGCCACAATTTTACTTTAAAATAAACTTATTTTAAACTAAAATTGTGCAAGAGTATATGTATTTTGGTCGTGGCATTCATATTTGATATATTTTTCACATATTGATTATGTAGAAGAGTGATTTTAATGACTTCATTTTTCTTTTTTAGTTAATGGATAGGTTGCATTGGTCAGATCATGCTGAAGTTTATGCAGATTATGGTCTCCATACGGATGCTGTAAAGTTACAAAAACCGAAACCGTTAACACGAAACCAGAATCAAAACCTCGAAATGCAAAGGGTTGTTATGAAGAAACCAGAATATCGCCTAGTAGACTCAACTTATGGTTATGTTAGTTTGTTTCCTTTTATGCTTCAAGTTTTAGATCCCAAATCACCGAAACTAGAAAAAACCTTAGAAGTTCTAATACCTCGCTTACTCACCCCTTACGGGCTACAGTCTTTGTCGAAAGATTCACCTTTATATGGAAAGAGAAACACCGAACACGATCCCCCTTATTGGAGAGGCCAAATATGGATACCAATCAATTATTTGGCCACGAAAGCCCTTCATCATTATTCCAAAGTTAATGGGCCTTACCAGGAATTAGCTAAAGAAAAATACGAAACGTTGAGGTCGGCGTTAATAAAAAATGTAATCGATCAATATTATAAAACCGGTTACATTTGGGAACACTACAACGAGAAAACTGGCGAAGGTGGTGGAGCGAGGCCTTTCAATGGTTGGTCAGCATTAGTAGTTTTATTGCTAGGGGAAGAATATTAAAATATCAGAGCGATTTTGTATTTAGTAGGCTTTAAAAGGTTTAAAGGTTCACAAAAGACTGAACAATTTCACAGTACTATTTTAAGCAATTAATATTTTCTTGATTGATAACTTTTAAAGTAGTCAGATTTACAGTTCAACTTTAAGTGTGGGACTGCAATACAATAAGTATTAAAGTTGTTAAATATTTTAATAAAGAAGAATTGGGACTAAAACAATTATACTGTAACTATTCCTAATCGATCCAATCAAAGTTTTAAGCTGTTGACTCACTGTATCTACAAATAAAACTTCCAAAACAAATGGTACCAATTTCCGACAGCTCAGCAGAATTTTTTCTCTATAGTAAAACGCTAAGACGAGCGTTACGAAACTAGCGCCACGAAGAGAAAGCTTCACAAAATAGCGCTTCTTTACATCGATTCACTAGTCTCGATCAGTTTCTAGTCATCATATACTTATTCTAACTAGGTCAAATTAAAAACTACACGAAAAAGAACTAACAAAATATAGACATTGAATGAGAAGTAAAAAAAAGTCATAATTGTCATCCATTTTATTTAGTTTATATATTGATTAAAACTATCAAGTGATATTTATTTATATTTCATTATTAATTTAATATCTCGTCTGAATTGAAAAAGTCTGTCAGAACTACACAACGTATGTTTTGTTAATACGTTAGTAGGTGGCGTTAGCGGACATAATAATTTATTGAAATATTTTAGCCTTTTTGTTTTCTGTACACCGAGCTGGGGATCGAGCGCACATCCACTGAACTACTCGCAGTGAAGCGAATAAGAACCGGCCACCCAGCCCGCTTGGCTATCTGACGGACTATTCTAATAGAATATAATTTGTTTAAAACATGAATAACAAAGTTACTTTATTTAGAATGATAAAAGGGTTGCTGGTGTGAGCAATGAGCGCATATTCATGAATGTTAGGGACATAAGTCTTTTACTTACAATCCGTAATAGGTTTTATTAAAACTTTTACAGCATCTTCAGGTCCCCAAGAAACTAAGGCTAAAATATCTAGTGTATATAAACGAATGTGCGTTTTAAAACTACTTAAGTATTTATTTGTATCTGTATAACGTCTCTAGACTGTATATATGGACTGTTCACAAGGAATCTACGTTCCTGTAGTTGGCTGTATACCATGTATTAAAAATTTAATTAAAAATCCTTTGTAATAGGTATATTTTAGGCCCAAACGGGCTAAGTTAAAAATACAAAACGTTTTCGGAAACCATGTTCCATCATCAGTGTCTAGGAGTACATGAATGAAGCCACCAAGATTAAATATGTGGGTAAAAACCCGATTACATATGTTTAATTACATTTAGTTTTAAAATAATGTTGTAATGATATAGGATTATAGAGTTACCGATGGATTAGGTAACATGGCGACATATGACTCCACGTTGAAGTTGCTAGTCCTGAGACGGTATGTCTTCGAGGACTGTATGAGTGCAACTAAACATCATTACAACATTATTTTAAAACTAAATGTAATTAAACATATGTAATCGGGTTTTTACCCACATATTTAATCTTGGTGGCTTCATTCATGTACTCCTAGACACTGATGATGGAACATGGTTTCCGAAAACGTTTTGTCTTTTTAACTTAGCCCGTTTGGGCCTAAAATATACCTATTACAAAGGATTTTTAATTAAATATGGACTGTTGTTAAAAACAAAAATGTCTTCCACTGATTCTGTTGGTGAATTAGTTGATAATAAATAGAGTTCTTCTCGAAAACGAACTACAAGAAGTCCTTTTAGCGCTGAAGTGAAAGAAATAATTTTAAATATATTTAAATATGAAACAAGAAAAAATCCCAGGTTAGTGGTTGGAGATATTGTAAAAAAAGTGGCGAGTAAAAGGCAAATTTTTTATGAGAAACGAAATACCCACCGTGTATGGGGTTTTAAAGAAGGTGAACAATGATCCTGATTTAAAAATTTGACGAAAACCATGTTTTATAGAATCTTAAAAATAATTAATTTTCAGTATCAACACAGGGGAAGAAACACCCTTTTATTAGACAAAGACGACATTGTGATGTGGTATAGAAAAGAGAGGCGCAAATTTTATTATCTTGATGAGACATGGTTGAACGCTGGACATACAAAATCTAAATTATGGGTAGACGATACAGTCAAATCATCGAAACAAGCTTTTTGGATGGATTGACAACGGTATTAAAAAATCCTTCAAGTAATTTACGTCATTTTACATATATCAACAAGTGCATCTAAAAAAAAATATGTAGACTTGGCTCCGTTCCAAAAATATAAAATTTAATCAACATATGCTTAAAGTATAGCTTCTTTAAATCGTGAAAAAAACATAAAATTATGATAAATACGTAACTGATGAAATGGCAAAAACCCAGAATAAACTGGTATTGAGACTTCCTCAGTATCACTATGAGTTAAATCCCTTAGAACTCATCTGGGCAAATATTGAAAATGATAGTGCAGGAAAAAACACCACCTTCCACTTTTCTGATGCCATAAATCTATTTTCATCAATTACACTAAAAATATGGAAGAACTGCATTTTACATGTTCAAGAAAAAGTAGAGAAGGAAATGTGGAAAATATAATTGAAACACATTTTGAACCACTTGTTATAAACGTTGATGATAGTGACATATTATCTAGTTCATCAGAATAATGTTTAAAAGTAGCCGAGATCTCAATCTCTGCCATATTTTTACGCCGAACTCAAACGAATTATGGATCACTTTGTATTTTTATTCCAAAAAACTAACCGTTTTGCAATATTTATACTTTTTGTAATCGTACAAACAACTAAACAAAAATTATAAATAAAACTTTTTTTAAAACACCTGTATATGAAATTTTTTTGGCCGATTTTGAGATAAAAATAATTTCTTGGTTTTTTTTTTCATCCTGTATACATGGTTTCTATTGTCGGATATCAACTAAAATCAATCAAACATTTTTGCAAAGTTAAATTATAAATTTCATATTTTACAACATAATTTGTAATTCTGGCCAAACGAAAAGATCCTGTTAGAGGCCTACACCTGATAATGTTTACGCCCCCTGCATAGTTTATTGAATTTGAGTATAAGGTAAATTCTGGCTTCATTTTAACATTTAGTGTGCCCAAAAAACGATCTACTCATAACTGATTTAATTTTAACCTACCAGCATATAACTATAGTTTCGAATCTTGTCAAGGTGCTCGTCAAGACCTTACGTATTCGACAAACAACACTGATAGTACAGTAACCCGAGCGGAAAATAGTACCTTACCTCTTAATTCTATTGGACTGAGTGGATTTAGTTGAAAATTTGTATTTAAGTGGAAAAATAGGAAAACACGTATTTAAGCGTGTTATGCAATAAAATCTTAAGTAAATAAAATTGATTGAATTAAGTAAAATAAACATATTCAATGATAGTTTGTACATACAAATTTTAAACCCTTAGAAAGCCACACTTATGACGTAAATAACGTGAAAGAATCTTATTTATAAACAATTCATTCATGACTTGAATAAAATTGCGTAAGGCTGTTTTCTCTGTTATTTACCGACAAAATATCTCGAAATTTGGACACGTTATTCAAAATTATGTTGCCTTTAAACTGATGGTTTTACTTTTTAAATTTTTTTGAAAGTTCTTTTGAAATATCGGATTATACAGTTTAACGTTCTATTATAACCAAACTTTTTACGCCCATCACTTGAAAGAGTTTTTTTTTCTGTAATCGTTGGCTTTTTTTTTCACCTTTTTATGTCCAGTAATAATCGAGAAGAGCGTGTTCAAACTTTGAAGAAAATTGCTAAAAAATACTGAAATCTAATAGTGAAACGTGTTACTCATCATTGGCATTTAGTTTCACCGTTATCGACTGCGTGACGTCAAATCTCATGAACGTACGGTCAGATAGTTTGATTTGAAATCAATTTCAAGCTATAACTGCGAAATTGTTTATTTGTTTGTCACAACAAATTGTATTTTTTTTTTTAATAATAATATTTTTATGTTATTTTAAATTTATTATAAATAAACACTATGTTTTTTGCAGTCACGTTTCACAAATTTATATTCAATACTATATTTAGCTAAGACATATAAATTAAAAATGTGATAATTATTTTTAAAACATCTACGATAATCAAACAAAAAAAGGTATTCCCGACAAAAGTAATTTGAATGGAGAATAATGCATTTGTTGTCATTAAACCACTCGCCGGCCGGCGCCACTGCGCTGCGAAAACAGCTGTACCCGTCGTCGGCTGGCGTAAGCAGTGAGGAAAAGTAAGTGATACGCCCATTTCAAATCGCAGTGTGTTTTGACTGCTAAAACAGCCTTAACTCCTAGAATTCATCCTTCATGCAAAAAAAATTAAAGATCTTATTTATAGTTTAAAATTGTTCTGAAGCTATTTACGTGTGGCATTTTAAAATAATTACTATATAAATGGGAATAAACCACAATTAAATGTTAAAGTATATTTATTGACTATTCCATTTCCAAATATTATTAAAAAAATTTCAAATTTTTTAATTTGAAAAACTTAATTTTTCAAATTAAAAAACAAAATTTGTTTAATTTACTAATGTTTATATTTTGAGAACGATTTCCGAAATCTAAATTGAAACGTCAATAAACATACTTTAACCTTTAATTGTGGCTTATTCCCATTTAAATGGTAATTATAGTAATTTTTTTTAGTTTTCCATTTAGATAACTAAAAACTCATTCCTCGCTTATGAAACGATATTTCTTTAGTTTAAACTCTTCAACCCCTAAAATTCAACTAAAGACTACAACGTTAGAAATAGTTTTGTACACATTAAAATTCTAAACTTATGTAGTTAGTCAATAAAAATTTGTTCCTTAGAAATAGATATAAAAATATTGGTTTTTCTTCAATAAGTCGGTTAATTTCCAAGCTTTGATATATATATATATATATATATATATATATATATATATATATATATATATATATATATATATATATATATATATATATATATATATATATCTATATATATATACAGTGCTAGTCAAAAGTCCGTTCCCCCCCTCGTATCTTTTGAACGGTTATTGTTATAATAGTGAAATTTGGAGGGAGGTAATAAGCAGACGTAGGCTTCTCAACTAGTCATAACAGGTGACGTAATAGTGACAGATGACGTAACAGCGCCATTGTGACAGATAATTTTAAATGAGACCTTATGGCAAGTGATACATCGTTTGAAAGGTATTGAAAATACCTATTCAGTTATTATAAT